AGAAGGATGTACTGTGTGTACTAAATTGTGTACTAAATAAAACAAAGAAATCTTACCTAAATATTTCCTTTTTTTCCACAGTAAACGGATTTTGGGCAGCAAAAGGCGGGCATTACTGTTAGAGAGTGATGATTGATTGGCGAGCGGAGCAGCTCATTGGCTGTTCGCGCTCACAGACGTCATGGACATAAACGAGGCGCCGTTTTAAACTCCCATAGCTCGAGATTAAAAGCTCTTAAAAATATAACAGCGGTGTTAAAATGTAAAATATTCATATTTCAACACTTTAACGACCTCGTAATTCGGAGGATTCAGTGTTATTTGAGAGAAGAATGTTCACAGGACAAAACGTATGGGGTTCTGAACATTTTTATTTAACACAGGGTGCGATAGAGACGATTTTTCGAAAACCCTATTCATTCTGCCCATAAAGAAAAGGAGCTTAGACCCGGAGTTCCTTATAGGGGCATAAGAACATGGTGCCGACTACAAAATGACAACACAACCACAGTGGTCTATGCGGTTGTGGACCAGACAAAACGAAATGCTTAACAGCAATATGGACAGACACTACTGTGCAAAACTAACTGTGGACAAAGAGTCTGAACAGATAAACAATTGGTAACTGGTTGCCACGTAATTTGCGTGTTCAGTCCGATCGGAGATGCATTTGACTACTAAGTGTAAATGCATGTGGCTAAAATAATTTCAGGGTACAATCCAGATAGTCCAGGGTGTCAGCAACCTAAAAGTTAAAAAGAGCCATTTTGTCCTTTCTACAAAAGTCAAACCTCTCTCAACATTTGACTTTTTATGAGGCTGAAGTCAGCTTTACATTCACCGGCTTCTTATTCCAATTTTCCCGTTCCACCTTAAATGGTGCCTGAGGCGCAAGAATGTAGCTAAGCACTTCACATTTTAAAGTGGAATGGGAAAATTCAAACAAGAAAAAGTGCAAATAAGTCCATTCATCTAAAAATTTTCGATGTTCATCTTCAATTTTTCTCTTTGCCTTTTTGTTAGCTACTAGCTAGGCAGAACTGTTTTCTGCATTGCTATGGTGACCAGCAGTCTGTGCGCCAGTCTTCAGGGTTAAAGGCTGATGAATTAGCAGGTGTAAACAGGATCTTTGTTTTTACAATGCACGATTCAAGCAGACCACAAAATGAACCACACAAACAAACTGAACTTTTTGGGTTTGTTTAGAGGGGTCTGAGTTCATTTTATGTGTTCACATATGCAAAAGAAACCATGACTCAGTGGTCTGAGTCCTCTTGACAAGCTGAAATGGTCCAAGTATGAGGACGTCCTAAAAGGCTGACATTATTCTTAAAAATCTTTATTAACTGTCTTTAACAGGCATAAATGTGGTGAAATAAAACATAACTGTTTGAAAAACCTTTGTCTGAATTGTCATTTTCCTCAAAAGTCAGCATGGTGTAACCAACATTTAAAAATCTGTATTGTTGTAATGCAACAAAAATACAGCAGTAAATTATAACACAAAACTTAATTATTTAGAAATATTTTTTTTTTTAACCAATAACTGTTACTGTCTGTTTTGACCGTTACTAGCGATGATACTGATTTGACGTCAGGTACCAGTATCGGGCTGATATTACCAGTAAATGCTAAATAAGAAAGAAAAAAGAATTAATCTGATCCAATCCTGCAAGAAATCTATCCTGAAATGCCACCCACTCATTAATGTAATGTTGTTAGCTGTGTATGTCTTTGTGCTTGGTATTGGCTGGGTTCAATATCGCTATTGGTATTCGGTAAGAAAAAAAGGGTAGCACCCCATGTCTATCTGCTACTGTGAGTTGTGAGACAATTCTTTTATTTTGAGATGTGTATAAATGTGGAGGGGCTATCCTAAACAGATGTGAAAATCGCCACAGTTTAAAAAAACGGTTGAGAATTCATGCAACAATCTTAATGCTAAATGCTGCATTAAAGCCGGAGAATGTGATTTTGTAGAAACCAGGAAATGTTAGCTACTTGTAAAAAAAATCTAACCATAAAAATCCCACCCCCAACTTTTAGCCCTCTTTCCAAAGCCACCCCCCACATGAATGCACACAGACTATGCACATTTACACAAAGGTTACATACAAGATAAACATAGCTTACAACGAATGTCCGAATGAAATGACTGGACGGGGTTTTTACAGTCCTGTGGCCTTCACAGATGATGTTTTCTTTTTATTATTATTGTCAGAACATGTGAATTATTTATTCCGACTTTAAGAGTATTTCAAGAAATACATCAACTACTCCACCTTTAAGTTTTTTGAGTTTTTTTGACAGCTGCTTTTGTAGTCACCCTTACTAAGGTTCATTTGTGAACTTTATGACACTCTCATACAGAATGACTTACAGTATAATCATGTCAGATAACTAATGTAGTGTTAGGTGTTTTTCCCAGGGATGCTTACTGGTACAGCATGACATGCTTGCAAGGAATCAAGTCTGATGAGTGGAAGGCAGAGGAGTCTTGCCCAATGACTCTCTCCCAAGCAGAGTATCAAATGCTGGTTGTTGGTTGTCTGCTGGTTGGAGGGCAGCAGTGTTAACCACTTCACCATACCAACTGTAATCTAAAGAGAAGAATTTATTTATTAAATTCTTGTTAAGACATGCTGTGTGTTCATTTAAAATACTAATGGTACCAATTAGGTATGCATCAATATCATTTTTTCCAGACTGAGTACAAGTACGAGTACATGGTTTTTAGTACTCGCCAATATCAATTCTGATACCATACTGAGTAACCTACTTAGAATTAAGTAGTTAGTAGTGTAATTAAGTGCAATGTACCTTAACAGTTTAATTATCTTGGATTGAGTAGCACTGCCATGGAGAAGGTTTTCAGAAAAGTGCATCTGTACACCTGTATTTTTCATAGTTTAGATCCTATGCTTTTCATCTGTCTCTTTCAACAACAGCACAGTAACTGCAGGAATCGCACCCGAAGTTAATTTAATGTAGGGCTGATTAGATACACTAGGGCTGAATCTCAAGTTGCCCCCTAATCCCTACTCTGCATGCTATGTGAACTATGAAATTTTGGCTTTTTCACACAAATAGTGCAGGATATGTCCAGTAGGGAACTGTGTGCATGTGGCTGAATCTCAGAAGTCTCTTTGTTAGCCGTTTCTTGCACTGTTTGGGTGCAGGAGCTATTATTTAAAGATGTATGTCGTGCATTGTGTAAGGAGTGGGGAGCCATTTGAGATTTAGTCTAGGTATTAAATGGTAAAAGTAATCTGATTATCTCATCCATAATAACATTAAATCACCAAGGATTGTTTATTTGTGTATCTGTATTTCTTATATTGTGTTTTTTTATTTTTGACAAATACTTTTTGGGCTACTTCCAGTTTCTTGTAGGTGGGTTTTGAGCTAACTTTGTATGGGAGATTTTTTGCTAGATCTAGGGCTGTGTCATTCAAAACAACTCGCTGCGCAGTCGAGTCCTGAGCCAACACGTTGGAAAACTGAGCTACAGTAGTTTTGCAAACTTGTGTACTGAAACTAAAACCAGGAAGTGATTTACATGGTAGGAAAATAAAGATAGAATGACTGTAGAGTCTATTTTACAAAAAAACACTATATTCAGTTTTATACTTTGCAATTCTATACAGTCGCCACAGTTTTGTTAGCCTATGTGTCTCTGTGCGCCTGACTGCCACGGACTCAGCAACACTTCTCTGTGCGAGCGCACCATCATTCACTGCCATCTTTATTTGTTTGTTCATTAGTGCAGCAGCCTACACTAAGCTTACGTCACGATATCAGATGGTATCAAATGTTGGTATCGGTGCATTTTTATGAGTATGAGTACGAGTAAATAAGCATGGAATTGGGCAGATAACCAATACCAGTATTGGTATTGATGCATCCCTATGCCAAATGGCATAAATACAATGTAGGCTGAGCTTCTTTTTTTTTAAAATTGGATTTTATTGGCAGCCTAACGATGAATGAACAAACAAATCTTTGTTAGTTAAACAAATGAACCTTAGTAAGGTTCATTTGCAGCTGTTTAGAAAACTCAAAATTCTTAATGCATCATGTTGCCTTGATATCTGAAGCTCTGATCCCTTTTCATGCACAAAGACACTGTACAGGTGAAAAGGAGACTACAGAGGCAGATCTACTCTTGGGATGCTGTTTGCAATGTAAATCATGCAAAATATGTAAAATTTGACAGAATATAAAATCTGGAGTGAAACAAGAAAAAAGACATATCACAATAAATGTGGTTAGTCAACTGACTGAATCTTAGTCAGTTAAAAACTACTATTGTTAGCCAACAAGTCAGCAATTTAAGTGTTTGTGTTTTAGAGTTCTAGTGTGTGTAAACTGATCAACTATTAAAATGAAAAATGTTTCTGAAATAAATGAGGGGAAACTTTTTTCTGTTCTTTTTTACTTTATTTATAAGAATTTCTGAAACTGTCCATATGAGAAATATGTTTAGGTGTCTTTATTTGGGAATTTTCCCCTACATATATGTTCCCTATAAACAGTCTTGTATTCATAAACATATTGGTTTATCCCTATTTTTCCTTTTTGCTCCTTTCTTTATTTCTGATCATTCTGTTAATACTTTATTTGATCCGATGTATACAGTGCCTTTTCATTGTTTATAAACTACAAGTGAAATGTCGAACAAATGGCAAGTATTTGGATTTAAATCTAACCAATACAAATAACATTACTGCCTTACAGTAGCCTCTAGTGACCTCTAGAGGTTTAATAGACGCTCAAAATTGTGGTAACGTTTCCGGGCATTTCTTTTATTTGAGAACGTAGGTCCGGCATTAATTATTAACACTTTATTGCTCTGAATTGGTTCAGAGTACAACAGTAATCATAGCCTAGATCTCTACATGACCCACAGCCATCTGACAGTGGGTACATCTTTTACTGCCAAAATAAAAGCCGGGAGCGAATGGATAGCGTTGCTCCGGGTCAGCTGACTACTCTTTTACACAGAAATGTCATATGACATCGTAGTACGTTTTTACCGCTTCAGCGTTTTCACTTTTTTTGCCAAACATTGCTGCCACGGGTTTTTCAGTCAGGGCTACAGGGTTTCTAACGCGTTAAAATATGCTACATACAGCCTTTACCATGTTTCAGACTGAGACCAAGCGTTTTCATTTTTTACTTCTACTTTTTATTCTTCACAGTGAAACGGAACAGGCGTACGCAGTGTGGCCAATGCCACAGCAAATGAGCCAGTCTACAGAACGCTATCCTGTAGATCCTCAGCTGTTCGCCTTCAGCTACGCCAGGGATTCAGCTGCGCAGAGTGGATGTTCTGTCCTGGATGCTGCTTTCGAAAGATACTTCAGCCTCATTTTCCCCGACTTTGTGGTCGGAACAGGTAAAGCTAACTCAATAGCTTTCCTTTTGGCATCTTGGGCTAAGAGGAGCCTGCATCTGCTGCTAGATTTGCTACAGTGACATAGGCTACATCCTTACAGCTCCATACTGCTCTTGTCTCTAAACCCACCTTTCATGGAATATAAGATACAAAAGACATCCTTCTGAAGAAGATGCCAGATCTTCCGAGTGTGTAATACTATTTTGTTAATTAATTTTTTTTAGGATTCCGTAACATTTGGTCAGAGCCAAAACCCTTCATATTATCAGTGAAAGTCAAAAATGGTGAATGTGATGGATACCCTGATGAAGGCTCAGATGAAAGCTGTGCGTACATGTATTTTTATGTCTTATTTTTGATGTGTCCTCTAAGCGGCACAACCATACCTATAATTAATTCACTTTTTTATACTGTTAACCAGTAACATGTACATGTACATTTTCCCTCTTCAGATAACCTCAGTGTATCTGCTGGTCAAGCAGTCTTGAAAGCAGAGTCAGTGTGGGGAGCTCTGAGAGGTGCGTCTTATGATTTATGCTGCCACATTCTGTGTTGTCCTTTTGTTTGGAAGGAGACAAATCTGAGCACATAATTTGGCCTCTTCATACATACAAGGCTGTGACCTGTTTAACCCCTTGAACTGTAGTTCCACATCCTAAGGCCTACTATTCGGTAACTTAATGGAAATAACGGAAAATGGTTTGGAGTTCCCGCTTTAAAGGTTTAAATGTTTTTAATGCTTTGAGTAACTATGAAGCTAAAAAACTGTAACTCATCTTTTAATTTTACTGAAAACCTGGGAAACGGCAACATTTGACTTTGGTCTTTTTGACTTTGGTTTGACACAACATAAATGGCATAAAACTAAAAATGAACTTTTCCTACGTGTTGAGGGAGAAATGCAGAAGGATTAAATTCATGATTCCAGATTTATCCTATAAGACAGTTTCATATTCATCCCCCCATTTCTTATAAAAACAGGACTGGAGTCCTTTAGTCAGCTGGTGTACCAAGATGATTACAACTTGGTAAGTACAATATGAAATTACAAATCTGTACATCATAGGTAGAGTGCCATCTTGATGGTCAACGTGTAAAAGAATATTGAAAAAAGACCAAACTTAACTAACAATTAACTACACCTATTTTTTGTTCTTACTTTATTTTTGCAGTATTTTGTCAATAAGACCGAAATTGAAGACTTTCCACGCTTCAAGTTTAGGGGTCTTTTGCTGGACACTTCAAGGCATTATTTACCTGTGCCTGTTATTCTGAAGACACTGGTAACCAGTTAATATTCTGGATACTCTTAATCACCATATGATAGCTGCTGACCTATAAAATGATTATAGGAAATTAAATGCCCTTTCTGATGCCTTTTCTCCTTGTAGGATGCCATGGCCTATAGTAAATTCAATGTGTTTCACTGGCACATTGTAGATGACCCTTCTTTTCCTTATCAGAGCCGCAATTATCCAGACCTTAGCAGCAAGGTACCCCATACAGATCTTACACATATAACTTTTTGGGGGTCTCTTGATTATTTACACATGAAAAATGTGATAACAGCATCTTGGCCCTTAGAATTCTTTCTGCAAGCCAAGTGCAAAATACCATTATTATTATACTGTCCTGTGCATACTGTATCAGTAATGATGTTTGGTGTTTTGTATGGCTTTGTGTTTGGTGCAGGGAGCCTTTCACCCGATGACCCATATTTACACACAGTCAGATGTGAGGAGGGTAATTTATCATGCAAGACTCAGAGGAATCAGAGTGGTGCCAGAGTTTGACTCTCCAGGACACACTCAGTCCTGGGGTAAAGGTATGACAAACACAGAGGTTTATATAGTAGTGAATAAAAAGAAATAGTGATTTTATGTATGTCAGTGTGTTTGTTTAACCATTTCTAAACCTCCCTGCAATAAAGGCCAGTATTATTTTTAGTCATCATCCACCACATTGTTTGGCTAGTACTTTATTATGTTAACGCCTACTATTATGTTTAATCAGTAACTAAATGGACTACAATTACTGAGTCACAATAGAGTTGTTTTTTAAGTTATAGGAATGTGTAATAAAAAAATAGGCCCACCTTTTAAGAGGTTAATTAGGTGTGCAAGGTGATGGGATTTAACAAATCCATGCTGGTGGTGTTGAGGAGATCTGGAACTAAACTTTGTTCTTCAATCTGTCTCACAAGAACACAGTAAAACAACAAATTATTATTACTTTTTATAGAATTGATTGATGTTTATTCACATTTATTCTAATGATATATGGAGTTTGTACAAGCACAAACACACCGCCATGATAAATGGTTTTAAATGTCAGGACAATTTTGCCCTGAAAATGCATGAAAACAAACAGTCTTGCAGGCAGAAACAGTGTCACAGACTAAGCATGATCTTGCACTAAATCACTCATTAATTTAAGACCAAAAGCAAAGTGTGTAAACTGTAATTGAAACCTCAGTGTTGTTGCTTTATTTTATCCCATACTTTGTCCTCAGGTCAGCCAGACCTGCTGACTCCCTGCTACAAGGGAGAAGTTCCATCTGGAACATTTGGCCCTGTCAACCCAACCGTGAGCTCCACCTACCAGTTCATGAGTGGCCTCTTTAAAGAAGTGACCTCAGTCTTTCCTGATTCTTATTTACACCTGGGAGGAGATGAGGTTGATTTCACCTGCTGGTAATAATGCTCAGAAGTTGCACTGCTTTTATATGACATGATTATGAAGTGTCTTAGGGCTTGGTTTTACACTGCCTAGTAGAGGAGTTATTACATGCATTATTGCTTTTGATAGGAGGTCAAATCCTAATGTGCAGGCATTCATGGCAAAAATGGGCTTTGGAAGTGACTATACCAAACTGGAATCATACTACATGGAAAAGTAAGTGGAATTCAGAAAGAACAGTACTGAGCATGTAACTGCTGATACAACACACCATAGGTGGCCAAGCTAGTTTCTCTCTGTTTATGTTGGTAATTAAATTTCCTGAGAAATAGACCCTGGAGTCAGATTCTCAACAAGCTTAACAGCAGCAAGTTGGGTTGCTACTTGAACTTATTATTTTAGTGATTTGTCAGATATTCTACAAGCACAGAATGCAGAGTTCCATGCCAAACACAGCCCTGAAAGTTTTACCATTACTAATAAACAAGAGCTGTGTGGAGTCCACACTTGCTGCATAGTAAGTTACTTGACATTTCACTGTTGACTGTTGGTAGTTGACATTTCAATGAAAATAGATGCACCAAAGTTCTCTTATAAAGATATTTGTATTCCACTGGAACTGGCAGAATTACTCATTTAAATAAATGTTTTACCCTTGACGTCCTCGACATCCACAGCAGTGTTTAAGTGCATAGGATTCAACTCATACATGTGACATTAAAAAAAGTTTTTTGTTTTTTTTTTGTTTGTTTTTTTTTAGCATTGTGAACATCACTGCTGCCCTCAACAAGACTTCCATTGTTTGGCAGGATGTGTTTGACTACCGTGAACGAGTAAGTGCAAAACTATCCTCTCCTTTCCTCCTTAAAGCTTATGCCTCCTCTTTCTATGTATGTATGCTCACTGTAAGGTCATCCTTTTCTTAAAGACGCTTTCTAATAGGAACGGGTGACGTATGTTCTAGCACAGGGCTCACTATGTGGTGGAGGTGTGGAAGGGGGGCTGTTACTTGTGTGAAGTGCGCAAGGTGACTAAGGCAGGGCTGAAGGTCATCCTGGCAGCGCCGTTCTACCTAGACCTGCCTGGACCTACGCATAACTGGGCCCGGTACTACAACGTGCGGCCTCTCGCATTTCAGGGTCAGGCTTTGAGTGCAGAGTGGTCCGAGTGTGGTGATGTTTTGCTGTGTAATGACTTATAGTTCAGTGCTGTGTACTTTTCTCTCTTTGCTTCAACTATGTGCTTTGTGCACAAGCATTCTTTGTTCTTATCTGTTTTCTCAGGTCTATGAAAGTGTTTACGAGTTCCATTGTTGGAATTGCCTTCCCTGCTCTATTCTGACTAACTTCCGTTTTTTTCAAAATGCCAGCATAATTCAATGATTGAGATGTGACATTCACTCGTTTCTGAGTGGTCTGATGTGCAGTGGCGCATTATAGAGAAACTTGCCAACTCGTATGTCTTTATAGTGGTGGTGCTAGGAACCAAGGTCTATAATGCAAAAATAGCATTTTTATTTGCCATTAAAAACAACCGGTTAACCTACAGATGTCTTCCGAGTAACTGACTGTAATTGATAATGGTAAAATAGTGGTAAATCTGGTAAAAATACATTTTTTTTGAGTACTGTTTACCTTACAACACTTAGTATGTACCTCTCCACTGTGATTTAAAAAAATACATTTAACGCCTCAGTAGCTTCTCAAAACTATTGTAAAACAGTGTATCAGACATAAGACAACATATTCAGAACCATTTAGTGTAATAACTGTCTGTGAGAGAGCTTTTAGAGGCATTAAACTCTTCAGACATTTGGTTCCTGTCACCACCATTGTAAACAATTTTGACTTCACATCAAACCACTCTGAATGCCTGTTTACACCTTAATGGTTTAAATGTGCAGAAATGTAAAAATGTAACGTAAGGGCTTGATATGAGCTCATGGGCTCATGAGCAAGGAAATCACTAAAGACTGCAACACATAGATTATGTGTATATACTGAGTTGCCAAGTTATTGGCCCGCACTTTGTACCTGTCTTAGTTATATCTAAACTTATAGGCCGTTTTATCAGCTACACCTACCATAAAAGTGCGCTTTGTAGCTATGCAGTTAAGTCTGGTGCTGCACAGTTTTTGTGGTCATTGGTCTTACAGTGGTCCCTTTCCACTGATGGACACGGCCAAGGGTGGCTGACAAACCACAGCAACAGATGGGCTACAGTCAGCAATTGTAAACCTGGTAGGTGTAGCTGATGAAATGCTGTGTGTGTGAGAGTGTAGGTACAAGATAATGAACTAGCAACTCTGTGTATACAATAATTTTTATCACCACCAGATGTCAGCAAAGGGTCAACTGTATATGCCCTCTGTAAAGTGATTGTGATCTCAACAATGGTCAAATACCCTCAAGCTGATATTAAAGTTGCTGTATCAGAGTGAGTTTAAAAGACTGATCAACTGGGTCCCAAAAGCAAATAATTTATGGACTAAGCTATAGGTTCTTTAGTTTGTAGAACAGGGGTGTCAGACTCCAATCCTGGAGGACCACAGCACTCCCGTTTGGCCTTCTGTCTCTTAATACACCTGATTTTAGTCATCCACTAGAAGACAGAAACCAATAGTCTATACAAGGCTGTGGCCCACCAGGGTCTGAACTGCACCCCCTTTGCTGAAAGCGTTAGATATATGGGCAAGCAGAGCATTACTCTTTTGTGTGTACTCTCTCAGATCCCCATGGACACAGTGCTGGAGATCTGGAAAGGAGTCCCTGCAGATTACCGTGCTGAACTGGGCAGAATCACACTTGCTGGGTACAGGGTACTGCTCTCAGCCCCCTGGTACATCAACCATATCAGCTATGGGCAGGACTGGCGCAATGCCTACACTGTGCAGCCCCAGAACTTCTCCGGTGTGTGGAGCTGCATATTCGGCTGGGGGCTACAGATAGACGGGTCTCCAATTTCAGTCCTTACTGGTGTGGCCTAGTGGCCTGGGAAGTAGTGGATTAGTTGTATGTGGAGAAGTGCTAGATTTGCATTTCATGATTGGTACTTGATGGTTGTGGTTATCTGTGCCATGCTTGTCATGAGGCATCTGATGCTAAATTTGCATCACAGCTTAAAAATCAGTAACTCTTTTAAATGCACAAGCACATAGTACTTTGCATGGTCTCAATTATCTGGGGTATTTTTATCTATTGCAGTACTGTCAGACTCCAGTCCAATAGTGCTGTAGTGTTTTGCCTGTTTTAACACAACCAATTCAACTGCTCATTTAAGTATTAAGCCTTTTATGAGTCAAGTTTAGTTACAGTTCACTGCAAAACTGCAGTGCTGTGGTCTTGGGTTGGGTTTGACACTGGGTTTGGGTTGGTGTGTATATACATTTAATGTGTAATGTTTGCCTAATGACCTACCTTGATGCATCTTCCAGTTCGCAGTGTTTCACGTTGACATACAGTGTTTGTCTGCTTATTCTACTCATATGTTGTGTTTAGGTACAGAGCAGCAGAAGAAGCTGGTGATTGGTGGTGAAGTCTGCATGTGGGGAGAATATGTAGATGCAACCAATCTCACTCCACGCCTATGGTGAGAGAGAGTGAGAGAGAGAGAGAGAGAGGAAACAAAAGTTTAATTATATTGTTAAAAACAATGGTTTCAATAATAATCAGCTGCTTTCAATTTTTTTTGTTTGTAGGCCCAGAGCAAGCGCAGCTGCTGAAAGGCTGTGGAGTGATGAGGAGAAGACCTCTAGTGTGGATAAAGCTTTCCCTCGCCTAAAGGACTTTCGCTGTACACTGATCAGGTACTGAGAATTCAGCACTGCAGAATGGCATATTTACAGCTGTAGCTAATGCCGTGGAAAAAAGACAACTATCACATTTTTTCTGTTTCTCTCTCTTTTTAGACGTGGTATCCAAGCAGAACCTCTATTTGTTGGCCACTGCAAACATGAGTATAGTGGACTTTAGAGTAAAAGGATGCAGACCGGAATGAACACTGAATATATTTTGCACACAGATTGTGCTTTCATTTTTTTAAACAAATAGTACTGTATATTTTCTTAACATTTTAATGTTTTTTTTCCTCTAATGCTGTGAATTGAATCTGAAAGAATTAAAGTATGAGTAATGACTTTGACAGACTTGTTGTGGTTTTGTATATAATGGGAAAATATTTAATTTCACTGAATTTTAAAATAGTAAAATGTCTCTTTGGCCATGTGTTAACCATATAACCTTTTCACAGAATGAAAACTGGGCTATAGTGATAGCACTACCTGAATAGTTGAGGTAAAGTATGCAGACATTTAATGAATTCTCCTGCTGCTGCCATGCTGGTCCCATCTCACTAGCTACGCAGATCCTATTGACCCTGATGGAGTTTACACCTGAGCTGAAGTACGACAGCAAGGTGTGAATGTCCTGAAATACTATGATTGCAAGATGATCTTTTTAGACGATCACGTTTTATCAATGTTTAAATTGTGAAAATATGTCAGGTGTGCAAACCACAACAATATATAACTACTATTCAACTATTCATTAAACAAAAAATTATACTTTTGTTTAATTAAATTACAGCCCAGTTTTTTTTCTAGAAACAAAAGCCATGATAAACAACAGATAGCTGCACTAAGTACCATATTAATATTTTAAAATAAATCTAGACAATGTAGAATTGTTTTTGGTCTTTCTCTTCCCTTCAGTTTTATGCTGTAAGCTGTGGCCTGATCCTTTTTGTGACAATTCAGCAACAAGTGCAGTTGCATATATTAAGCTTCTCTATCCCTTGTTCAGCAGTAACGTGGTCTTTTAACTTAAGTCCCCCTAATGTTTAATTTACTTGCCAAATGAGCTTACATGTCTTTGATATTTACTTAGACGATTGATTTTCTCATTGCTGGGATTATGCTGCTGACAGCAGATGGCAGGAACTGGCTAATCCTGCAAGGCTCTGGTGCAAGGCCTCACACTCCCACTGACAACCCCCCTAACCCCCAATAACTTATTTTAACTTCCACTTGAGGGGCTTCATATATGAAAGATACAGCCAATCCTATCCAGTAGCCAGCATGATCCATTTCAGGGAACTGACCTCTACATGAACCTTTGGCCTGTTCATCCATCTATCCATCCATCTATATCTATCTACATGTGTGTGTGTGTACACACACACACACACACACACACACACACACATATATATATATATATATATATAATGTGTGTGAACAGACACACATGCACACACACACGGAACCCCCAGAAGACCATAGAGCAGGTATTATCTGGGTGGTGATAATTCTCAGCACTGTTGTCCTGGTACAAGTGGATCAGACACAGCAGCACTGCTGGAGTTTTTAAACACCTCAGTGTCACTGCTGGACTGACAATAGTCCACCACCAAAAACATCCAGCTAACACAAAGTGTGCATCCACAGATGAGCTACTGCCTCTGACTTTACAACAAGGTGAACTAACACAGTAGTGCATCTAATAGAGTGGACAGTGAGTGGACACAGTGTTTAAAAACTCCAGCAGCACTGCTGTGTCTGATCCACTCATACCAGTGCAACACACACTAACACGCCACCACGTCATTGTCACTGCAGTACTGAGAATGATCCACCACCCAAATAATACCCGCTCTGTTAGTGTTCATGAGGGTGTCTGGATTCTTTAATGTGTGTATATTTAAAATTATATAAATATGCACACTTTACTTACCTACACACATTGTATAAAATCATTTTTTTTCCATAGATGTAATATGTAATATGCAACTATATGAAAGTGATTTCATATAGTTTTTCCATTTTAAACATTATTGCAATAACAATACCATATCCTGTTCAAAACTAATCCTAAATCTGAAAAAGCTCAGTCATCAATTTCATAATAATCAGATATCCCCTACAAAATCTTTATTAATTGGCAAGTGGCTGCAAGCTCTCTGCTGATCAACACAAAGGTGCAATCTATTTAGTGATCTAATTAATGCTTAAGCCTGATGTGTTGTTTTTGCCAAGTATTTTTTTTCAGTATCCCCATTCATGCAAGTTGAGGATAACCTCAGCCAGCATATGGCAGCTTGAGTGCTTTAATGTGTTTAATCCTAAACTGATAGATGAATCACAATGAGTCATACAGAGCTATAAACCCTTGGCTTGCCTGTAGTTATTTTCAACTGTTTATCATGAATGAGCTTAATTAGATATTAGAGCTTAACTTCATTATGAAATCCACAAAGAATACCAATTATGTGTTGTTATACATGGATAATACTTGATTTGGAATGACGAAGGCAAACGGTTACTTTCATCTGGTCATTCTATTCAAAACTGAATATTACAAATGACAAAATGTTTGTAAAAAAAATTAATAAGAAAAGACTTTTTTTTTTTCTTTTGTTTTTTTTGTTTTGATGTATCCTAATCAGTATGAATAAGGTCTAAGCCAATTAGTGTGTGTATTGTGAAAGTGGTGCTTTTGGCAAATTTAATGTACTGAGTGTTAAACTGGTTTTAAGTTTAAAACTGGTTTAACTCATTAAGTACTTCACACTAAAATGTTTGATAAATAATACCACACATTGTCTAAATACCCTAATAAATAATTTAAAAAACAGCAGCATACAGTCACAAAGGAAGGGGAACATTGGACAATAAATGTCACATTCTTTAGATGAGAGACCTAATAATTTGATGCAAACTGAAGATAAAAGGAGGATTTGGGAGTTATTCCTTCAAGTTAGCATTTACACAAAGATTCATGCACACTAAAAAGTTAATCTCACTCTTTGACAATAGCTGACATTCAAACAGCTTATACGCAAAGCTGCTTAGAGTGATGCACGGAGATGTGAACTTACGGCAATGTGCTTTCAAGGACATCTTATTCACCTGACAGGGCTGTCATAATAAAATCTTGTTTGTTGTGGTAAACATTTGCAGTTTTCTCCGTTGACTCCAAAAACAATATTCATGTGCTGTTATTGTATTACAATTAGCATTTGAGATGTTCTTTAGAAGAATGTTCACTAAAATCTAAGTTTCACTGACAGATCATCACATTCTATGACCCCAGACACACATAGCTGATGCGTAGCAAGTCATCTGCCAAGGAAAATATTTGTCCAGCGTGCAGCAGTTAGTGCTAATTACACAGGCTGACGGCTTGGGGTGGCTGCTCTGTTTAAGTGCCTCTGGATCTTCTAAACAGTCTGAGGGCCACTGAGCCCCATCAGGAGGCTCAGGAAAGGAGCAATCTGACACTGATCCGCTCTCAGGCCGGGCCCCAGCGCACCATTCTGCTGATGGCAGCAGCACCTCGAGCCGGGCAGCAGCTGTTTACTGTCAGAGATCTAGGTCAGGCCATGTGTGGGGAAGGGTTACGGCTGCGCACACGCTAGGGATGGAGCAGGCATCTCCTGTTTGGGAGCTGGACTCCTCCTGAACATTCTGGAAGCTCCATGTTTTGAAACTGCCTGATAACAGCCGAACACTTTTGTCTACCTCAACCTGTTATACAGCAAGCTTATTATTTTGTTATTAATCTTAAGACTTAATCTTTCAGTAATATCTACAAGTTATTTGGTAACTACTGTGAAACTGATATGCAAGTTATTAAGTTATGAAAGTAAAGAATTAAAGTGTCGACTCACATACGGGTCCCTTAAAGTTTAAGAGATTAGACCGTCTGTCAAATATTTCTAACGCCATCCATTTTCAGCATCCTGACCCCTCAATTCTGAGTGCATGTCTACTAGCATAATGCCCACTGCCTGTACATACATGTAAATAGATACTGCTCGTATAATACAATGTATTGTATTGCAAAAAAGCATTCCAATCAGTTAAGATCTTATATCGCCCGTTTAAGAGTGACTGACATCAACAGCTTTCTCCTGACGTGTAGGGAGTGTAAGAGGCTAATCTCCAGAGCTCATGGCCCTGGCGCAGGCAGACTGAGGTACAGGCTTTAACACATGGTTATGTAACACAGGCTACAGAGTTACACTGTCAGCACTGCACAGATCAGATTCTAAACACCTTACCTGACCCATGTATGCTCGAAAAGAGCTAGCAGTGGAATGAAATGGTATTTAGATAGATCTGGTCCCACTAAATAACGTTCCATCAAGGTGTTTATTTGTTGGTTGAGGGGTATGATGTTCAGGTAAGGGTGTGTTATGATCATGCTGAAAGAGCCTTGTCAGTATCAAGTGCTTTGGCACAAGCAGGAGGTATACTTCATATTAATACTGTAATAAAGTAATACATTACTACAACATACTTTCAAAATACATAATAATGCTATTAATATTGGTTAGTAACATAGACTAATACAACTCCAAAATATGTAATGTAACAAATAATGTCTTGCCTTGAACGCTAGCGATAAATGCATTTAATTCAGGCAGCATTATCCTAAAATCAGATGAGAGTGTCAAGACTTGTAAATGGAAGCCTTTTCACTGCCAATCATCATACTTTATATTTAGGCTATTTTGAGACATGCCGTTTCTAATCTCTTCCTTTTCATATAATCTCTGCTCTGCCCATCTAAGCAAGTCTTGTCCTAAAAGGCACTAGAGAACATTATGCATGATGACAGCCACCTGCCTGTTACATAAACTCATCTAATACGACTGCTGTGACTGCTACTGGCCCCCACCTGCACACACAGCGGACCCAGGTGTGTCACCCTCACATGACATCAACAGAAACAGGAGCCGCAGCTAGTCTTTGTTTTGGCAGCCTACATGTTTTCAAGCTTGTGTTTTCAACTCCCATTCTTTCATGTTGGTCCCCCTGCCAGAAAAATCGCAAGCCAAAGTAAACACCCTTTGATTAACGGTCCCTAAAGATACCAATGTGATAATACACAGAGAGCTACAGGAAATACTCCTTCTAAAAGCTTCTAATGCTCTTCCATTTTCTAACTGAGATGATGACAGTGTAATTCTTCATTTAAATAACTATAACTAAATACTGTTGCTGCCATCATAGGAAAACCTTGTAACCTTGTTGTTTTTTTTTTTTTAGCAGCAGTGCTCTTAACATTATATGAACCTTGCATGACGAATGGACCAAAATTGCTACCTTCACAGATATTATGAACATTTTTCTTTCAATAGTTACCGTTTCCTGAGGTATAAGGTTTTACGACAGTTATAAGACACATTCAAAGGTCAACAGCGAGAGAGTATTTCTCTTCACTATGAATTTTCCTCTACAATTACTGTTGCTATCTACTACAATTAGAGATCATTAAAGAACTACCTTAACAGTTTCTCCACTATAAGCATATATACTCTGGCTGAACTATTGTATGGTAGTATACAGTCCTGTGCAAATATCAGACCACCCTTCATTTATTTAATTTCTATTTAATACAGCCATTATGTACAATTATTAGATTTTCATGATCTATTGTAGTTCTAAGATAATTCACCTACACAGGGAAGGGGAAAGTCAAAGGAAAATAAGCGCAAAAATTCCAAAACTGGTGTTATTTACACTGCATCTATATTTAAAAATACAGAGAAAATGGGACACTTAATAACCATGCAACACCTGGCAGACCACCAAAATGGTCGCAATGAGATAAACAGTATTTAAAGCTTTCACATTTGAAAAACAGGAGAAAGTCAAGCTCCACTTTTGCTTCAGATCAAAAATATAAATAAATTCACAAGTGTTTTTGTCCATCCTTCCATTGTGAGAACCTAAAAATTACTTGATGTAGTAACAAGCAATTGAACTAGTTTTTTTCAACTCAAAAAATTACATTGATTGAAAGAATGTTTCATTCAAAGTATTTATTAAGGTTGAATGTAACTAGTTAACTTACTTGTTACCACATCAAGTAATTTTTATAATTTGATCTGATAAGCCATTGTTGTGGGTCTGAAAGGATGTGCAGCTGTCAAAAAGCCATTACTAAGAAAAGGAAACAGACAAAAAAGAAGAAAATTTACAAATTAAACAAAGAAGCTGCTGGTGGTTTCAGAACAACAAACTGGAATCTGGAGCTCTGGACTCATTGGACCTCATTCACCAATATCTTTGATTTTAAGTTTAAGATATCTTAAGTTTAAATTTGTTTTGAGAAAGGTTCTTAGACAAAGCCTATGTCAGTTTCATGATATGTTCTTAAACCACAGCATTCTTTGCCCTTTTGTGCTCTTGAGTGAGTGTAGATTCTGTTTTTACCTAAGAACAAATATCAAATAAGAAAACACTGGTGAATGTCAGAATCTTCATAAAAACCATGTAAGTGGATTTTAAGAAGAAATCTCTTCTAAAGAACGGTTAGAGAGGCCCAATGAATCTAGACCTCAACTTAAATGCATAATGAAAAATTTTACATTATATTTAGTTGTTGAGGATTTTGTGCAATTTGCTGTTATATTTGTAAGTTTCCTGTATTTTTCTTGATGATGAAAATAACTTGTACTTAATGGTCATTTTGACTGGAAATATATATGTATATATAGCAGTGATTACTGTGAGGGGTCTCGGGAATGTTTCAGCATGTATTAGAACCATCCAGGCAATTGTGTCCAGTTCAGAGTTCAGATACCTCCGTCTGCTCTGCTAGACAAGCCCCCTGTCCTAATCAGGATCTCTAATCTTTTTACACAGCAGTTTAGGTCAACAGAGAGGGGTCTGTCACAGAAACAGAGACACCAGCCTAAGATGAATTGAGCATTAAGTGGGATTTTTGCTTACAGAGATCATCTCCTGTCCTGACTACGTTCTGCCTCTAAGCTAGTTGTCCTTTGAACTGGAAACTGGGGAAAAAATGCAGTGGCAATTCTAGAGAAAGATATGTCTTTATTGACTGGTACTAAACATGCTAAAAAGATCTCATTTTCTTGGTTGGATGTAAAGTACTTGTAGTGTTATTTCATTTACCGGAAGTTTTATCACCTGTTGGGCTCATGACACCAGCTAAAACCCCGCAGCCATCACACCATCATGGGAAGAACCCATAGAAGTAGAGAGCCATGTGTGGCTGTCTGGCTTTTGTATGTGACCCAGCCCTATGTAAATCCTTAACAAGGCAAATCAAAGAAAAAAGCAAATCGCTGACCTCAGCCCTCTAATTACCAGTAAATCATGCAGGGGTCACTAATTAGGCAGACCAGAATCCAGAGAGCAGTCACCATATGGCACTAGGCACTAGGCTGAACTTGCGGTTGGGCCCCTGACTGCCTTTTCAGCCTTGCAGGCGGCTAATTGACCCCCGCCACCCCCCCTCCTGGGGTCTTTGTTAACTTGGGACAGCACGTTTTGTGGTAAGCCAAGCTGCTTAGCTGACTTGAGAAGGGTGGCTTTTTTTCAGTGTCTCCTTGGTAGGTAATTCCTTTTAAAGTTGAATAGTTGAAAAATCAATGCTACAGGACAAACCCAAATCTGTCAACATGTCAAACCAAATAATAAACACAGAGAAAATCACAATAGGCCACATTTAGCATCACTTTTGGCAGAGAAAGTTGGATTAGCGTCCTTATTATCTACTTTTTGGAATTGATCCAAACAATATGACTCATTTTTAGCGGTGGACAATATTGAGGATTAAAAAATGATGAAATACTATGAAACTAACGGAACAATAACGAACCTCTCTCCAGAACACAAGTATAATCCTTTTTTCTTCATGGGAAGACACATTCCTATCAACAATTTCATTTTTGTTTCTTCATTTTCTGCGGCAACAGCCACAGCACTTGTTTCAGTTCAGTGCAAAAAATAAATAAAAAAAGCAGGTACTGACCCATAACACAGATATCTATTCATGAAAACTGAGTTGAATAAGATGATATACACCTGCCACATTTTTGAAGCATGCTGCTGGAAGCTCACTTGCAGGACCACTCCTGGACAAAGACAACAGGACAGAAAAACAGAAGAGACAGTGTGTCCAAACTAAAGCCAAAGCCTCTTCTTTATTCTTTTATTCTCCACTTGTGGAAGGGGCTAATGCTGAACAGTGTGACTGATTGATCCACCCCTAGATGGACAGTAAAGATTAAGAGGATGACAAATAGGCATTTGCTTACACAGCGCTTGCTGCTAATCCCCTTGTCTTCCTTTAGGGAGCTCAGACTGGACAGGGACTCAAACACATTTCAGCATCACCAGATGCAAGATGAGGAAGTGACAGGCTTCACTGGACTTTACTTCAGCAATAGTCAAAAGGTTCTAGAGAAGAAAACAACGTACAAAGAAAGTAGACCTTCATCAGGAGTGAAGACGTAGGAGTTTTTGGAAGACTCTATAGAAAAACACCTGAAAGAATTTCAGTTTAACTGAAAGAACTGAAAGCCGAACTTTGTTTGGGAAAAAGGTGAATCCACTTGGAAGAGGAACTTCAGGACTCCACTCGGGCCAAATTTCACAGAGGACAAATTTGGGGAGCAATTTTTCCTCTATAACAGGTTGAACTTAATGGAGGATCCCATTTTGAAAATTTCCATGGTGCCATCCACATCCCCCACAGACTCCCCCAGGAGCAACTCCACAGAGGAGAGCCATGAAGGTGAGTTCTGAAGCTACTCAGTGTATCCCAGTACTGGGTAGCAACAGGTTTCTACTTTTCCGACTTTGCTTTACACTATGCATTCATCAGGCATGTGTGCAAAAAACATTGCTTTTTTAATGCTGTTCCACTATTCATCTACTTGCACTTGACTAAAAATGAAAATGTACAAAAACTGAGATCAATTTGGATTTCCTTATTCTGCAAAAATGATGCAGGCCCATTAAAATGAGAACTCTAGGATTGAAAGGGAACTGGGTTTGCATATGTTTCCTTGTACTCTACATGAGGTTACAGAGTTGTTTCCTGTGTCCAGGTAAAAGTCCAGCTCCTGGAAAGACCCTGAGCATAGGTATGCTGTGTAAGGTGTGTGCAGACACAAGCAGTGGGAAACACTATGGTATCTACGCCTGCAATGGCTGCAGTGGTTTCTTCAAGCGCAGTGTGAGACGCAGACTAATTTACAGGTGAGGACAATTACAAAACAAACAATGGGCACCTTCCTGATTAGGTTTAGGTAAAGAAGATGGGGCTAAATATTTTTGTAAGCTTACCTATATATTGTACTGTATATCAATTCACTCATACTAGATCACAAACTGTACACAAAAATAAAAAAGTAAATAAGTGCCTTCTGCACTGCAGTAAATCATATCCTAACAACAAACATGAACTGTTGCAGGTGCCAAGCTGGAACAGGCATGTGTCCAGTTGATAAAGCCCATCGTAACCAGTGCCAGGCTTGTCGTCTAAAGAAATGCCTTCAAGCTGGCATGAACAAAGATGGTAAGTCTAACTGTCCCCTTACTTCTTTGTCCCATTCCCCCTCTCTATGTCTCCCTCTCCCTTTCAGCCAATCTTTCTCTAACTAGCCACGTCCTTCTTTCCACAGCTGTGCAGAATGAACGTCAGCCCCGAAGCACAGCTCAGGTCAGGCTGGACTCTCTGGATGTGGACACAGAAAAAGAGCACCTGGCCACCACCCGGGAGCCCACATCCTCCTCATCTACTTGCTCTGTGATCAGCAGGCCCCTGCTGGCCTCCTCCATTAGCTCCAACATAAGCTCCACTGGCCCCAACCAGCGCAGCAGCAGCCCCAAGAACAGTCACCGCTTTATGGCCAGCCTGATGACCGCAGAAACCTGCGCTAAGCTAGAGCCTGAAGACGGTAAGAACACAGACTGAAAAAGAGAGGGACTAGACTAATCCAGCCACTGATAAACAAGCTCAAAAGCAGTGCATTTATGTTTCAGATATGAATATTTTGTTCAGCTCTTGTTCTATGAAGCTCTTGTTTTTAATCTTTGAAGTAGAGTTTGAAGGCACAGTTCACTTAAGACACACAGTATCTCTGTGAATTATCCCATAATTCCAATGCCTTGATTTTATTTCCAATTTCCAGTACTAACATTTTTTTTCTCTCTCACTTTGCAGTGGATGAGAATATTGACGTAACCAGTAACGAGCCTGAGAGAAGCTCCCCAGAGTGCAACACGTCCCTCTACTCGTACTCTGGCCCTGAGAGTGTGTATGAGACCTCAGCTCGTCTCCTCTTCATGTCTGTTAAATGGGCAAAGAACCTGCCAGTGTTCTCCCATCTGCCCTTCAGGGACCAGGTACAAGTCATTCACTGTCTGTTCTTATAGAGGGATGTGTGGGAAAATACATCATCACTGAAATAAGAAAACATTGTTAGCTCAGGTTTGTACACTTTTTGAAACTGCCAGTTGCCAGTTACATTATGGGAGTATTTCAGGATGAATGGAATAATATTGGAGTAATATATATTACCATTCTGGACAATGTTTTCTTATGACAGTGATGATATGGTTAAGATGGCAGTACTAATCTGGTATTCGCTGACTGCAGCAATAATCAACCATTACACATATCATGAACAACTGTAGAATGCAATATATCTATCTGAAACTCAAAATTTCCTGACCTGGAGAAATGTACATGTGTTCTTAACTGAAATTAAATGAATAACTGTTACCTCATATCTTTCTCTGTGTTTGCAGGTGATTCTACTAGAGGAAGCGTGGAGTGAGCTTTTCCTCCTCTGTGCCATTCAGTGGTCACTGCCGCTTGACAGCTGCCCCCTGCTCTCTCTGCCTGACTTGTCTCCTCCTTCCCAGGGCAAGAGCAGCCCCTCAGCCTCTGACCTGCGCCTCCTGCAGGAGGTCTTCACCCGCTTCAAAGCCCTGCAGGTGGACCCCACTGAGTTTGCCTGCTTGAAGGCCATTGTTCTTTTCAAGCCAGGTCAGTGATCATTCCTCTGCTACAAGTAGGAATAAATAAGCATCTTTTCAGAGCACATGTGTATATTAACAGTGCATTTTGATGAGTGACATGGATTTTTCTCTCTAAAACAGAGACACGTGGCCTCAAAGACCCAGAACAAGTTGAGAATCTGCAGGACCAGTCTCAAGTAATGCTTGCTCAGCATATACACACACTCTACACCAGTCAGGCAGCAAGGTGAGCACATGCGCACACACACGCGCACACACACACACACACACACACACACACACACACACACACTTATTTGCTTTTCTACCTTCTAACATCGGCTATATAATACATATTATACCATGTATTATATTGTAGATTCTATATATAATTCTTGACCTTCAATGTAGCTCAGTGCAACAATATTTTCTTTGAATAATTATTCATTTCTGACCATTTCTATCAGTCCATTTATCATAACAGCTGGTGTTTGAAAAAAGCAAATAACAAAAATGGAGATACGTAGTTTTGTTCTGACAGTGACAGTATATTGATACGAAAGGTCTAATTCTAAAGTTAACCCTAACCTAACCTAAAATACATTTCTTTGTCCAGTTTTAAAAATGTAAAACATGTAGCTTTTTAAAATCATTGTCAACTGTCATTGGAATGGACAAACTCATTATACAAAAAGTACAAAAACAAAAATATACAAATACTTCTACAGATAAAATACATGTCTAATCATGCACACACACACACACACACACACATGCACACGCACAAACACACAGGAGGAAAAGACCTAATCAAATTCTCTGTGTTTCACAGGTTTGGAAGGCTATTGTTACTTCTTCCCTCCCTACACTTTGTGAGCTCAGAGAGGATTGAGCTGCTCTTTTTCCACAGAACCATCGGGAACACTCCCATGGAGAAGCTACTCTGTGACATGTTCAAGAATTGAAAAACTGTGAAAACTGTGTTGCTGTTGAGAGTGCACTGAACACTGGAGCATAAAATCATTTAACTTTTAGGTGCTTTCTTCCTCGACTGCTGTATTAGTGAGCAGTTGCAACGCTTATCACTTCAATTAATTCCTCATGGAGAGAAATGTTATATTTATTATTCTTCCTTCACACCACCATGACTTATTATAAAATATTTGTGCTTAATTTTGTATTTTAATACTGCTCACAAGCATATGCATGTTTATTGTATGAATTATGTAATTTAGGTAGAGCGCTTTCTGTCATCTTTATGAGTTAATGTAAGTAAATGCATAAATGCCTTTTAAGCTTTTTATAATGCAAAATTATTTTGATAAAAGCTTTTCAAAAGTAGGACTTTTTTATTAAAAAACACAGTATTTTTACTATGCTCACAGACATGCCTCTCCTTTGTAAGAATTGAAATAAAATTATGATTTTCTCTGAGAAACCTGGAAATCAGTCTTTGCATCTTGCAACACTGAGTACAGATTATCAGCATCTAGCATCTAAATACAGTCTGTATAGATCTGCAACTTCTTTGCCTGTGTGGTACTTCATGTAATCACATGTACTTCATGTAACTCCCACTACAGAACCTGCAGTTGTGAGTGTGTAAAGAAAAACTAACACTGAAAGCACAATAAGAAAGTGGAATTATTTCATATCATACATCATTTTATTTTACAATCATTTTGTTTTACAAGGTTATATATCCATCAAACTAGTTGACATAAATTAAAATACGACATATTTCTTTTTCCACCTGCAAAGTACTCTGCAGAACCATCACAGCTACAATATACAAGGCTATTTTAAAGTGCAATTTTTTTAGGAGAATGAATGCTTCAAATGAGTTCTGTAGTTTAGTATGCATGGAAATCAGTTTGTTTTGAATAAGAACCCGTAAAATGTTATGTTAACTAAAAATTGTAAGGCAACTATTTATCAGCTTTTTTGAGACATTTTACGCGATAGATGAGAAACAGGTTCATTATAACAGATGCAAATAGACTAGCTGCACATATATTCACAAGGTCCTTTACTCCAATCACATTCTGTACAGCTTATGAACATATAACAGTGACAGAACAGGCTAACATTAGTTAGCACAGTAAAAGTCGATCCTAAAAATGACCGTTAACCGAAACGTTCACTCTGGGTTAGTTAACCTAGCTGTTATGGAGCAAACATGGAAGGTCACTGAATAACTGGTATTACCGAATCGAGTTTATTATCTGAGTTTGATTGCTGTGATACCAACAAAAGTGACAACATTACTGTCAGTGTTAATCTGCCTCATTAGCTACAGAACTAATCTGACTGTTAGCTTAGCTTAGTTACGTTAGTTAACTAGCTAGTACAGCTAGCTGGCGTAGCGTTAGCCAAGTTTGGCCTGTCTGGCTAAATTCACAGAGTCAGCGTGAATTTTCAACGTCACGACAAAATAACATGAACTAGAGTTGAATAAAAGGAGTAACATTAGCTAAGTGTCAGACTGAATCTGAGAATAACAGTAAGAGATTAACGTTAATACATGTTCTCACCTGTTCCTGTCGGAGCTGAATCGCGCTGTTTTCCGTTGAATTTTGAATTTGAAATGATGTGTGATTGTGTGTGACAGGATATGCAGCACACGGATGCGCTGATTCAGCCATTAGAAACATTATTCATTCATTCATTCATTTATACATCGCTCTGAGTCCAGGAAGCCCTGATGGTGATGTTGTCAATAGTGGGTCTGTCTAGTCACTGGTCTCTCACACACTTGAAGAAGACAGATTTGCAGATGCGCGGTCCAATGTCGGTTTAGAGGTAAGACGCTCTCCACAGATTCTAAATGATTTCAGACGTGCTGTGGGGACAAAATCGGACTTTTCAAAGGCATGAGAACAAGCACGCTTATTTCTGTCTTGCGACTTTTGTACAGTAGGTGGCGGTATGAGCATTTATTTCAGTACATTCGGTGCCCGCATCTCTCCTCCTCTGCCCTAGAGGGCGCTGTTGGGCTGAACTTGTGAAATACCCGGAAGAAACGTTACCTGCAGCCATGGAGATGATATAGCGTTGCTGTTTTTATTGTTGTTAAAACTGAGAGGAGGCGGTTTTCAGTAAGTGAAAATGTTCAATAAGTCTCCAGGTTTCGGCTATGAGGCAGTTTCGCAGGGAGACCCTGGCAGTACTCCGGGCCTGTACGCGACCCCCTTTACCTTCGGACAGTCTCAGTTCAGCAGCGGCCACTCCTTTGACTATGTGCCTAAAATAAAAGACAACGACTTTACTGACAAAACTCAAGGATTACTGTCATGGATATGCAACTTGATTGTCACATTCCTGGTTTTTCTTTGCACTCTCATCACATTTCCTATCTCAGCGTGGTTCGTATTAAAAGTAAGTCCTTCCTACAGCTCAGACAGACAGACAGTGTGCATATTTGCGATGCTGTTCTTATTTCATGTACAGCTGTTAATGTACACTGTGCCTTTAGACAGTGCCCAACTATCAGAGAATCGTTGTGTTCCGGCTGGGTCGCATCAGACCTCCTAAGGGTCCAGGAGTGGTGCTAGTGCTTCCGTTGATTGACCAGTGGCAGAGAGTGGACCTGAGAACCAGGGCCTTCAACATACCACCGTGCAAGGTACTAACAACCACTGTTACAAACACAAATCAGTCACCCATTTATGCAGGACTTGCACCAGCTTTTCCTGCCCAAGTCCTTACCTGGACCAACTTGCCACACAAGGCTCAGATCTGATAGATCATTTCTATCAATGCCAACATTAGTCTGACATTCTTCGTTACACCATTCAGCATTCTAGAAGTTTACACTTCCTTCTGTGCTTTGTCAGGTGACCACTAAAGATGGTGGACTGGTGTCTGTAGGAGCAGACATCCAGTTCCGGATCTGGAATCCAGTGATGTCTGTGGTGGCGGTACAGGATCTGAATGCCTCCACACGCCTCACTGCGCTCAACGCCATGACCCAGAGCCTGGGCAAAAGGACTGTGAGAGAGATACAAACAGAAAGAGTTAAGCTAGGCGAGCATCTTGGGGTGAGATGCTAAAGCATATTTGTTATTTGAATGCCTATTCAGTGTCAGTTTGTTTTACAGCACATGGAGAATGCAATATATTATAAAATTGGAACTTGGTAAACCTATTACTTAAAGGTGAATTTCAAAAATGTTTCAAAAGTTCTTTGTTAATTGGTCATTAGGATGTGAACAAAGTCATTTAGAGTGTTTTGATTTAAAACTATCAATTCTAGAGAAACTCACCAGGTCAAGAAGCGGTGGTGAGCCAGACTTCTGAGTTTAATGCCTCTGAAAGATCTCAGATCTGTGAGCGATCTCACAAAGTTATTACATGAAATGGTTATGAATACTGCAGCTGTTGCTAGAGAAATTGATTTATGATAGTTTTAAGATAAAGTTTTGGCCTAAAACATTTTTAAAATACACTCATGGCAGCGAGGCACATGCAGGATGGTGTAAAGCAAAATAGTCCCCAGAGATTTACTACTATTTGTCCTTTACTAACACTAAGTTGAAAACTCAGAAGACATGTAGGTTCACTGGTCATTTTGGATAGTAAGTAAAATGGCTGTATTTGCGTTGTAGCTTCACGACCCCTGGTTCCTATCACTGCCACTGAAATCACTGAGTCCATAAGTTTCTGTTCAATGAACCGTCTCACATCAAAACCCTCTGAATGGCATTGTTTACAGCTTAATGACTAAATTATGCAGAAAAAGTTGCCCAAATTCCTCTTCAACTTTAAGATAGATTAACTGATTAAGGTCTGAGTAATTGAATGATTGATTTCCCAGGCTCAGCAATTGGGGTTCATTAAAGCATAACAATATTCTTACATACTTTCTCTTACTCTACTTTCTGTACTTTAATGTTTTGCAGATGGACATAAATGAGTTGACAAAGCCGTGGGGATTGGAGGTGGACAGAGTGGAGCTGGCCCTGGAAAGTGTGCTCCAGGCTCCAGAGAACCCTCAGTCAGGGTCCGTTATTATGCCTCCCTCTGTCCCTGGCCTGGAAGGTCTCACAGGACCAATTCAGCAGCTTGCCATGCACTTTCTTGGGCAAAGCACACAAACACCCCAGCCTCTTAAGGGTACATTTACTCATTCACTTTTTTGCACTGCCCAGCCAGGTCATTCATACATTCTGTGTTCTTATATCAGTGCTGTGAAAAGAGTATATTTGAATTTACTGTGCAGATACAGTGAGCTTCACCGATGAGTTGAGCATGGTGGCCCCAGTAGCTGCAGCCAGCAACAGAGTGGAGGAGCTGCTGGCAGCAGTCAGTCTGGTGCTGTCTGAAAGTTTGGTTAAGCAGGTGGGAGCCTGCTTCCAGTTTTACATCAGCACTAGTAGTGGCCAAACCAGCAGCTACTACGTGGACCTGACTCAAAGTAGGTACAGTAACAAGTAATATATAAAAAGCTATTTTACATGTTATTCAGCATTTTTATGTATTTTGTTCATTTACTTTGTTACATTTAAAATCTGTTTCTCTTTTACTTAGGAAATTAGACTATACTATGTATTATTAAACAGATATAATATTAATGCATATTTTTCTGTCCATTTATCTCCAATATATCCAGACAGTGGAGCATGTGGTGTGGGTGAAGCAAGGCGATCAGACGTCTCTCTGAGTATGAGCGAGCAGGACTTGATGGCCATGTTCCAGGGTAGCCTGCAGCCATTTGCTGCATACAGCTGTGGTAGACTGAGAGTACAGGGAGACCTGCACACAGCCATGAAGCTAGAGACACTTCTTAAACTCCTTAAGCCTCATTGAGGCCTACTGTTAGTAGTGCACGTGCCTCATATGTGCTGCCTTTGCATTCATGTCAGCATGTCAGTTCTCTTTCCATAGCTGGCAGTACTATATTAAAGTACTATAATTGAAATATGAACTTTTTAGTTATCTAAAAGATGCAAAAATGTAATTGGCCTACCATTAAAAAAGGCTGTGAAAGTGATTTCCTGGATGAATAATTGGCATTCAGGACAGATATCTGAGCAAGCAAATGAAAGACACGTGTTCTACTAGGTTCTACTTTGAAAATGGTAAAATCTCACTTTTTGCAATACAGAACAGAATATACTTCCACATTTATACTAACAATAGAATATATATGTAAGTATAAAAAGGTACAAAAACTGTCACTGGGGCAGTACCCAATATGTCACTAGGGTGGAACCCTCAAGAATACATCTTAGTACCTTTAGTCAGCGAAAATGATTGTACCATAATCCATAATCCGACTCCACACACCGATTCATCTTAAGGCTTTTTATTTTATTGTTCTGTTTTAAAACATTACACTGGAAAAAATGTATTTATGGAACATAATTAGACTGTAAAACCACTATTGTACCTTTGAGGGTTAATTAACATTGTAATTTGATGAACAATCAAATGTACACTGTGCATATACCTGCACAGAACTTTTATTTCTAGCAGTGCATGGACTTTAATGTGAAGTGGTAAATTAATACAAAGCATATGAGTTTTTTACTAGATTATTTATTTGTAACTGATATTACCTTCCCTTGTGTGATTAAACTTTGTCTTTTATTTAAAGATTATGTTTGAAGGAATTTAGTGTCTTTGTTGTTGTAAAGTCTGTAATTGAGATATATTTTTGACAAATTATCTGCTGTTCTTTTTTAATATAAATCTTTAAAATAGAGTTGATATTTGGATTTGTGCTTTACCATCTCTTAACCAATGGTGTCCTTGAGTTTGTATGTCTGTCTTCATCACACACATCTATACAAGGCTGAGTGCCTCTCTGCTGCTCACTCTGACCCTCACTCCTGTGGCCTTCTCTGCCTACACACAGCTGCTTACAGAGAAAACTCCCACAAGGCCACTCTACTGGCATTCGTCTGTGCTATCAAACTCCATACTTCCATGGAAAAACAGAATGTGCAGTATATGGTGTGATCTATATATGAGTCAAAGCTGTTATTTTTCTCTGCTATAACTCTCTGCTGACTGTGAGTCTGTCATTGCACAGATTACACATCCAACAGGTATTGACACAAAATCCTGAAGCCAGCAACTATTCATCTGAATAAAAACTCAATACATTAATATACAGTACTGTGCAAAAAACACCTTTATTTAATTTCTTTGGGAGACATAAATCAAGCAGATCTGCAAAAAAATAAATAAAATCTCTCTTCAGATCTGCAAAAGTCCACAGGTGTTTCTGTCCGTCTTTCCAGGACAACTCAACTCTTAACAGCTATACATTCTTTCAGACTCAACACTGAGTCCAAAACGACGTGTAGCTGTTGATAAGCTGTTGCTGAGAAAAGAAAATACAGAAAAAATAATGGAATTTGCAAATCAAACAAAGAAGCTGCTGATGTTCTCAAAACAATGGACTGACCACCCAAATGTCCAGACATCAGCGTCACTGAACTTTGGAGGTGTGAAATTTTTGCAGATTTATCTGAAAAACTAAAGGCAAGCATCCTGAAAAAAGAAGAAAAAAAAAAACACACTAAATTATAATAAAACATTTATATTTGGTAGTTGAGGCTTCTGTGTAATTCTCTGTTGAATATATTTTCTGACACTGATAACATTTTGACTGGAAAATCAATTTATTTGAAAATCAAATAAAGGGTCTTCTCTGACTTTTGTACAGTACTGAATTTTAAAGTAAAGAATGTTTTAACTTGTTAGGACAGCAATGAAATATTAGAAATTATGTTTACAGAATTTACAAGCTAAAAACACTAAAGGTTTACAAATGTTTAAAAAAATTTGTAGTGAATAAATGTGCCTTTATAGGAAAGCAATCTACATGTAAACTTGAATTTTAACCTTGAATTCAAGCAGCGAGAGGAGGTGCATATAAAACCAAAGACGCTGATCAGAAGAACTGTCCCTGGTTTCAGAGAGACGACAGACAGAGAAAGAAGGTGAGATACAAAAGAGGAGAGTGTGTGTGTGAGTGAATGTGTGTGATGGCAGCGAGGTGGAGAGTGTGGTCCAGCCCTGTGGCTCAGTCCCTGGCCATGCTGGAGGGACCAGGCCAGGTCAGGACCTGTCACAACGGGAGTGTGTCCATGGGAAGAGATACACTCTTCTCAGAGAGCAGCTCCACTATCAGACCCTTCAGTGAAATCCCTGGAAGGTGGAAGAGCAGCCTCGGAAACCTGTACACCTTCTGGAAACTGGATGGCTTTCGGAACATCCATCACATTATGGTGCATAACTTCAACACTTATGGGCCAATTTATAGGTAAATTCCTTTCATAAATCTCCTTCACTAAAGATTAAGATTTGTATTTTGACATAAATATGATTTTGCAGCAAAGACATTTACTCTTTATAATAAATAATAATAAATTGTCCCAGGACAATAAGAGTAAGGCTTGCACAAAAAAAGCCTTAAAACTGTAAATTTTGAATGGTTGTAAATTGGACCTACAATTTATCTAAAAGTTTGGTCAAATTACATGTTTTGATGATTTTATAAGTGAAAATAAGTTTACACATCCTCTACAGAGAACACACTTCTACACGCTTTAATGTGCAATTACTGTGTACTTCCTGTATTTAATATATTGGAGGGAAAAATAAAACATCAGATTTGACCTGTGTATTATAAAGTTATGACAGCAAATATGTATGCACTAAAATTTGCAGAAAAAAACATTTAAGCTTATTCATTGTTGAGGATGTGTTCATTTTTTCACTTTTAAAATCAACAAACCTTACTTGACCAGAGTGTTCAAATTTTTGCATGCTCTCATATGTCCCAGTAAGCTTTACATAATAGGCCTAAAAATTATGGTAACGCTGTACTGTAGAGCAGTACACATAAGGCTACGTGACACCTAAATAAGCTTGTCATGACAACTGACATAAACCTGCATAAACATTGGTAAAGGCTTTTTCCCAAAAGACATCATTCACTTGTCATAAAGGTTACAATTTTGATCAAAGTTTGTTTAAAGCAGCCTTTATGACAAATAACGCATGTTGGAATAAGACTTTGTGAATGTTTACGTAGGTTTATGTCAGTTGTCATTATGAGCTTACGCAGGTGTCATGTAGCTTTATGAACGCTGCCCTACCAACAGTAAAGTGTTACCAAAATTAAAAAAAAAAAGAAAAATAATAACTATTATTACTCAATGCCACATCAATAACTTGATGAACAGAACTAGCTAATAACAGCTATTAGTTTTTTTCCCACAACTGAACATCACATGCCATCATATGACATTTAATAACTGTATCTTAAAATTATGTCCATTACCAGAGAGAAAATTGGCTATTATGAAAGCGTGAACATCATCAACCCTGAAGATGCTGCTATCTTATTCAAAGCAGAGGGCCATTATCCCAAGAGGCTTCGAGTAGAGCCTTGGGTCTCCTACAGGGACTACAGGAACCGCAAACATGGTGTTCTTCTTAAGTATGACTCCTCACATTATGTTACTAGGCATGTTGTGCTTGAATATTTCTGAGCATGAAGTTCAATTCATTTGTTTATCTCTTCAGGGATGGAGAGGACTGGAGAACTAACAGAGTGATTCTAAACCGAGAGGTGATCTCACCAAAGGTGCAGGGCAACTTTGTGCCACTGCTGGATGAGGTGGGCCATGACTTTGTGGCTCGAGTCCATAAAAAGATTGAAAGAAGTGGCCAGAATAAGTGGACCACGGATCTCTCCCATGAGCTCTTCAAGTATGCACTGGAATGTAAGGTTTGGCACATAACCAATACTTATGTCTATGTTTTTGAATACTAGGTCAACGACAGTTCCGCTCTGTAGTTTTGTTGCCTGGTCTGATTCAGTTTATCAGCTCATCAAGCCCTTATTAAGCTGAATCAGACGAGTTGGAGGGTAATGAACACAGAAAAATTCACAGTGCTGGACTGTTTCAGGACGAGGTCTGAGAACCAACGACTTGTTTTTCTCAGTAAGTGTCAGTTTGCTCTATGAATGCTTATCCAAGCCCTGTCTGTTCCTCAGCTGTCAGTGCAGTGCTGTATGGGGAACGCCTGGGGCTGCTGTTGGACTACATTGACCCAGAGGCTCAGCACTTCATTGACTGCATCACTCTCATGTTTAAGACCACCTGCCCCATGTTGTACATCCCTCCTACTCTGCTGCGCCGGCTAGGATCCAAAGTGTGGAAGGATCATGTGGAGGCCTGGGATGGAATCTTCAACCAGGGTAGGACTCAAAAGAGGACAAAGCATAATACTGTATGAATAATATTATACTTTGTTGCTGTTCTTAAAAAAAAGAAAGAAAAAAAGGAAAGTTTATAGGAGAAAGGAAAAAGGTTCTTTACTTAAAAGTACTGTGTAAAAATCAGAGATGACCATTAATTTATTTAATTTCTAGTCACAACGGTCATTATTATTTTTCAGCATCAGGGCAAAAAGCAGAAAACAATTATTTAACAAAAAATAAATAAATAAATAAATACACAGAAGCTTCAACATCTAAATGTAATTTTTTAGTGTTACATTTATTTACAGCTTCTATTCTTTTTAAGAGACTTGCTTATAGTTTTTAAAGAAATCTGCAAGGATATTTTGCAAACCTTCAAAGCTCAGTCTTAGAAGTTGGTTACATTTTCTGCTTCTCATGATCCAAATAATCCCAAACACATTCAGTAATGTTGAGATCCTGACTCTGGGGTGGTCATTCAATTGTTTTGAGAACACCAGCAGCTTCTTTGTTCGTTGCACAAAATTTCTTTTTTTTTTTTTACTCAGTTACAGCTTCTTGACAGCTGTACATCCTTTCAGACCCACAGTGCTGAGTTGTCTTCTCACAGTGGAAGGATGGACAAGTGGAACTTGATTTTCTTGTATCACTCAAAAAGATGAAAGATACTGTTTATCTGATGGTGACAGTTTTGGTGGTCTGCTTGGTCTTGTATGGTATGATTGCTAGGAGTCCACTTTTATCTTTATCTGTTAATAATTTAAAACTCCAGTTTTGGAAACTTCTGTTTTTTTTCCCCACTTGCTTTCCTTTGATATTTCCCTTCCTGATGCAAGTGGGATGTCTTATATTTCATTTCCTCAGAATTATATCCTGAGAAATTAATCACTTATACATCCATTTTGACTGGATGTTAAATAGATGAAGGGTGACATCTGACTTCTGCACAGTTTTGTATGTTAATGCAATGAGATTGTGTTCCAAGTAAATTTGGATCATTTGTATTGGTCCATTCATCATGAAATGTTCATAGTGTGAAGGGCAGCTGCTGTTTTCAGATTTTGTAAATTTAAGAGGTGACAGTGACAACAAAAATCATAATGAAATAGAACAGTAAAAGACTTGTGCAATCATGGTCAAATCACTGCATTACACCTACTGCAATCTTGTGCTCTACAGCGGACCGCTGTATCCAGAACACCTACAAGCAGCTGAGGAAGCAGTCTGCAGCCTCAGGCAAATACCCTGGAGTGCTGCCCAGCCTTCTGATGCTTGACCGCCTGTCCATTGAAGAGATCAAGGCCAGTGTGACTGAGCTGATGGCTGGAGGAGTTGACACAGTAAGATACATAAATCAGCTTTTATCACTTTAATCACTGACATATGATTCCACTGCATGATGAGACTGATGCTGTGCTATATGTGTGTTTGCATGTTTCAGACGTCCATCACTCTGCTGTGGACTCTGTATGAGCTGTCGAGGCACCCTGACCTGCAGGAGGAGCTGAGGGCAGAGGTCACTGCTGCTCATGCTGCCTCTCAGGGAGACACAGAGAAGATGCTGAAAATGGTGCCGCTGCTAAAAGGAGCTCTAAAAGAGACACTGAGGTGGGTGTAGAGGCACAAGAGAACAAAAGCAAGAGTGATGTTCACCTTATAACTGTTTTAAACAGTATAATACAATTACAAAAAACTGCGCCAGGTCACAAAACTTTTTTGACGAGGTTTTGTATCCTCTAAAATGCTCCCAAATTTGTTTAATTAGCCATAATGGAATCCAGTATGCATACCCTAATTTATATGGCATTATGAATACAGCCATATACATCAGTGGTGTTCAAACTGGTCCTCAGGGTCTCCCAGATGTTTTGCTGCACTGGGAGTCGAGACGGGTGAATTGTGGATTGGTTTGCGAACCACTGACATGTAGTATCCACAAATTTGCTCTTAGTTCATTCAATAAGGGCATTCATCAAAGTTGCATATGGCAGTTTTGTTATTCATCAATTTCATCTTTGGGGTATCTGTCCGATCAAACTCACAGTGTGTAAATTCGAGGGCAATAGTTTAACAACCACAAAAAATGCCTGACTTGCAGTTAACTAAATAAAACTATCATCGTCATCATCTGTAACACCAGTAATAATCTTTCACATTATCCCTTCTGGATTGTGTGGAATGCTGAAGCCTATCCCAGCGGTCATTGGGCAGAAGGCAGGAAACGTCCTGGAGATGATGCCATTCCATCACAGGGCAGACACAGAGACATATACCCTCACACACACATACCTGGGGCAATTTAGTGTGTCCAATTTGCCTGACTGCATGTCTTTGGACTGTGGGAGGAAACCGGAGTACACGGAGGAAACCCACGCAGACAACATGCAAACTCCACACAGTAAGGACCCTGGTCTACCAGAGCCAATAAAGTAATGGAATGGCCCTTAAGATGGCGCTGGGGATTCCCACGAGGGAAAATGACAGGCCAAGTGGGTGATGGCTTGTTAAAACCAGTACTGAACGGGGAGCGTGTTTCATTTAAGGACATATTACACATTGATTTGCTATGCTACTGACAGTACCAGAAATAAAAAACACTAAATAACAAAAAAATAATAAAGCATCTCATACACTACAATAATATTTACAATTACAATCTACCATTGTAATAAAAAAAGTAAGATGTTTTGTTTATTTCACAACCACTGGCTCACATGCTGAATGGTGTCGTTTTATTGGCTCCCCACTGAAACTTTCATATGAATTAGGGTGTGCTTCATGTAAATGATAAGTAAATGAGGTACTGGTCAGAGGGGGCTTGATTTCATGCACTGAAAATGATTCATAATTCACATTCAAATCTCTGCTTGTTCCCACGACATAGTATTAGGTATCAGATGCAGAGTACCTCATACGTCATCAAAAACAGTCAAATCTGCATTCTTTAATGAATAAGCAACTTTAATGAATAAGGGTCTCTGTGTTTTTTCGCCACCTTTTTTGTCTTTACTATTTACTATTGTCTGTTTTATTCTTCAGTTTAGAGGGTTTTCTAAGCAGCGATCCTGGAGCTTAAAACTGTTGTGTAATTACACTCATGCTGTTTACACAAACACAAGTTAACTGTAGCCTTTGGCTGAGAGTTTTCAATGGAAAATGAACACATAAAAATAAAAATAAGATTATTCCATCCTGGGAAGCCACTTCTAAAATATACATGTAACCAGGATTAGGATACTTTTACTGACTGCAAGTCACTTTTTCTTTTAAAGGCTACATCCTGTTGCAGTTAGCCTGCAGAGGTACATCACTGAAGATATTGTGATCCAAAACTACCATATTCCATCTGGGGTAATCCACATTTGAATAACCTGAATCAGTTCCATATGCAGAGATGTAAAGCACTGCAAGTCTCATCTGGGTCTTTTTATATGTGGGTCAGACATTGGTGCAGCTGGGGCTGTACGCTATGGGCAGGGACCACCGTATCTTCCCTCGGCCAGAGCAGTATCTGCCCTCTCGCTGGCTGAGGAATGAGAGTCATTACTTCAGGAGCTTGGGCTTTGGCTTTGGGCCCCGGCAGTGCCTCGGCCGAAGGATTGCAGAGACCGAGATGCAACTCTTCCTCATTCATGTCAGTTCTGTTACACATAATTTCATCACTGACTATACCTACTTAATATACACCACAGACTTAATTATCATAAACATTGAAGAGCAAAAGGTATTTTTTACTTGTTTTATTTAGTATGTATTTTGGGAACAACAAAAAGCTATTAAATGATACACAATATGCTGTATTTATCTACAGTTTTTTTGTCAGGTTATCTAACTCAAGATTTGATCATGAAATATGAGGCATTCTGAGTTTTCATTTTACAATAACTTCATTCTCACTGCTATACAGCTTCAAATGCTATCAAAAACCATGACTACAATGATTTTTATTCAAAGTTGCACAATTTGGACTGCACTAAAAAGGTTTAATTATGCTACTTTTTAAAGGAAACATGCAGTTGGCCAGAATTCTTTAAGTACTGATGACATCTACGATAGGCTCAGAGAAAAAGCATATTGTGCCATAATTTATGACGGTGACTACGAAAGACTGTCATTTGCCCACCCTTAGTTAAGTCTAATTTTCCATGCTCCATATTTAATGGAATCATCGCTTATGATACTGATCAGAATTGCCTGGTGAGACTGACTGATGTAACTGTGTAATCCTCTGTAACCTCTGTATCCTACAGATGCTGGAGAACTTCAAGATTGAGAAGCAGAGGCAGGTGGAAGTGAGGAGCACGTTCGAGCTCATTCTGCTCCCTGAGAAACCCATTGTGTTAACTATCAAGCCTTTACATAGCTCCAGACAGCAGGGCACTGGATGAAATGAAGTGGCTTGAAGACTAAAGTTTTTTCAGACTTTTTTAGATGGATCAAAGGCAAACAAATTCCAAAAGCAACCTTCAAACCCCTTCTAGAAGGTATCAATAAAGTGTTTTAATTTGTCCTTGTACCATTAAGACATACTTTCTTAAATTACTACAGTCTCTCTATGAAGCCCTGAAAATACAGCAGAAGTATGGAAGGTCACTAAAGTCAAACGTGGAAATTTGTCTAATTTCACTGTTCAAAAACAAATTCTTGTTTTATCATTAAAAAATAATATCTGACTGTGCCATAGAATGGAGTCACTTCAGGGGATCCGGCCGCTTATGACGTATGTGTCTCAAAACAGGGTCGGAAACATCTTTCTTTGAAAAGAAAAGAAAAATATTACTGCTTGCCACATCAAAGCTTCCCTTTGGTCTTTTAAGTGTTAGTCCTGCACATTTATTCATACAAACAGATACAGGCATACAGACTTCTGCCTTAGTGTCCACATTAACAGATGTCCATGCGATCAAGGTTACATACTGACCGGTGGCCGGTCGTGCAGGATCAAGGTCGATGTGCGAGTGAATCCATGGTCATATTCACTGAGTCTGATCAACATCTCCTGCTTTTCTTTCCCCCACTGCCTGGCGTTCTCCTCCAGCTAGAACACAATGCAGGCTCAGCTGTCACGTGCCAAATGTACTCAATAACATAAAAAACTGAGGGCGTAACATAGTGGAGTTCTAACATTTATTTTCCTGTTAAGGTGAACTGCTCTTTGAGAGACACACCTGTTTTTCCAGTGTGTGGATGTAGGCCTCTGCTCTCTCCAACTGCCCCAACAGTCTCAGCTTCTCACTGTCTGAAAATGGCTGCTGCAACTGAGTAGAATAACACATACTGCATGTTCAGTTATGAATATACTGAAAGTGTTGGCCTGTTTTTTTTTTTGAGTATTTTATGAGCTTTGCGTTATGAGACATTTTGTAAAGACAGCATAAGTTAGTCTGACACACTCACAACACTCATATAATCCAGCAGGTTTAACCAAGATGCATGTCACCCAATGGTCTAACATATAATGGTAATGATAAGATCAATCTAACATTAAGCATCTTACAGGTATTTGGGTGATGTCCAAAAGGGTAACTTTACAGAGAAGAAGGAAAAACAGGTAACACTTTAATGAAGGGTGTTCATAAGGCTACATGACACATACATGAGCCTTTCGTGACAGCTGGCCTAAACATTTTTAATGTCATTACACTTTTTGAGGTGACATGACATTAAAATTGTAGCTTTTAAGACAACTGATGCTTGTTGGAATAAGCTGGAATAAGTCCTACAAATGTTTATTATTCTCTACAGAGAACACACATCTGCACATTTTAAAGCACATGTATACTTTACTTGCTAAATTTAACATACTGGAGAAAAAACATCATAAAATGTGGCCTGTGCAAAAGTTATGGCACAATTTATATTTTATGTTTCATTTTTTCTAATATGTTAAACTCAGCAAATAAATAAAAATTGTGCACTAAAATTTGCAGGATGACATTTTTAAGTGTGTCTTCTGTAGGGGATGTGTTAAAAACAAAAACAAAACAAAACAAAAAACAAAACAAAAAAACAAAATGTAATTTGACTTGGGGTATACAAACTTTTGCATACAACTGTATTTATGTCAGTTGTCAATGAAGGCTTATGTATATGTCATATAGCCCTACAAATGCTGCCCTTCAATAAAGTTTAAGTATGATAATGTATTGATTGGTCCATTCATCATGAAACATGGTACAATGGTTCATATGGTATAATTAAAAAAACAAGGTTTAGATATGAAAGCAATGATATATACTTGTAAAGTTATAAATACATGTGTCTGAGTATCTGACAGAGTGAAAAATAGTGAGGTTCACTTGGGCAGGTTGTTGTATAATAACAGCTGGTGGCTGATGGCGGAGTCTTTCCAGCTCCTCTCTGAGGCGAGTGTTCTCTGCTGCTATCACAGACTCAATCTCTTTCCTCTTGCTCTCCTCCTCATCTGCACATACAGACACACACACACTAAAGAACTGCTTCCTAAGCTTTATTTTCTCACCACATTCTTATTCAGAACAGCACACTCAGGGTGTACCATCACAGATCCTACATCACTACATTATTGCACCAGATCGATCCCAAACCAATCATTACCCCATTTAAATAGCCAAATGTGAATGCCATGCCATGTCTGCACTCATTTAAAATGTAAGCGCAGCTCTATCATGGTGGGTTGATAGCAGACCACAGACATTTTGTCTGTTAACTGCACTCATTAGGGAAGAATATCAGGATTATTCACCCTGTGGTGGACACACCTTTGTGTTTTAAGACTGCCTTCTTCCTCTGTGTGTTTTCTTTATTTCGTTCCCTCAGCTTTGTGTCCAGCAACTTTTCCATCCTTTCAATAACCTCAGAAAAGAATGAAGGAAAATACAATACCACATAACAAAGGGCACAGGAGACACAAAGAGAGATACAAATATATACACAGCAAACAGATGAACAAAAGTATCAAAGAGATATACATAAAAGAATAACAGGTTTGTGCAGTTGTTCTGCACAGTGGGCTGGTACCTTCTCCTGCTGGTGTACTGTGGCCTCCAGGCCTGCAAATTTCCTAATGCGTTCCTGATAACGCTGCAGCACGGCCTGCTGCTGTTGGTGAGCCTGCTGCAGCCGCACTAACTCCTTCTCACTGTCATTTTTCTATAGCAGAGGAACAACAGGGAAGATCACTTAACCTTTCTAGCAGCTTTCTCCCCCTGTCGTAGGGGCCTTTTAGGACCACTTCTTACATTTTGTTTACTTATTTTTGATTCTGAAATTTGAAGTATTTGTTTGTAAGTACAAAAGAAGATATTTTATTATTATTTCAATTTGAAAAGTTTAAAAATTAAAAAGTTATTGTTATGCATATTGTTTGTAGAAACATTTTTTGAAACAGAAGTTTAAATTTAATTGAGATGTCATTTTGAATATTTGACTTTAGACTAAATTCCTTGTGCTTTAACTGACCCTATGCTATTATTATGTTTATTTTAAAATAAATGATTGAATATTCGATTTAGTCACTAACAAAACATCATATCACTACCAAAACTTTACCAAATGTTCCATTTGAGCATAGCTCAACAATGTTAGCTAGTACATGACTAGCAAACACAGCTTTGAACAGTTGTACACACAAAAAAATCTATATTTTTCCCTGAAACACAAAAGAGTTCACTTACTTGCAGAAAATGTGTTTCAGTAATGAAAATTCTTAATGTTACACAGTAATTTTCAGACTTTGGAACACATTTACTTCAAAACAATGCGATCTAACTGCTCACCATGTGGTCATGAGAGACAAGGATGCAGTCTCACTTCTTGCTCTAAAATGCAGGGGTGTGGCTAAAACAGGGCTTCACCTATAGACTAAAACTTTGTGTGTTTCGGTAGTGACATGCAAACCTTTTTTTACAAATTAGTAAGTTTTTTTTATGATAAATTATGATACAATCGTGATAAAATCTTACAACTTAAAAAAAAAAAAAACATAAAAAGTTAAGTACTGTTTTCACAAGTTGAAATTTAGCAGCCACCTCTCAATATAAGGTATCCTGTAAATTAATACTTTTGCATATTTGCATATTTTGCATTTACTACTATTAATGCATTGGGATCAAATGCATCATAACACGATCCTTGTAAATATCTAAGGTCTGTATACTTAATTTTTTTTTGGGGGGGGCTTGGGGGACAGGACAGCAGTTGGAACTAATTCAGTTGAATGGTCCATGTAACTATCAATAATTATGTAATTAGATATAAATAAGTATGTAAAGTAAATGTCCAGCTAAGGGTTAATGAAATGAAGCTGACATACTGTAGAAAGTGCTACAGAAACATAATGAACTGAATGACCTTATTCGATCAATAGCCTTGGGCCGAGACCATTGATACATTATTCAACACAGCATTTCCTTAATTTCAGACAATATAATAGAGGCGTGGCAGGCAGTCAATTGGTAATCTCTTTAAGGCTGCAGGAAGCCACCCATGCAAATGGCAATAGCCCACTGGTACTTTGATATCACAAAGTCATAATGAGAGAGGCTGATCTTAATGATATAACTCACCCTGATGAGATCGTTCTGAAGCCGCTGGATCTTTTCCCTCTGTTCTGCTGCCTTACTGCTCTCACTGGCCAACTTGACCTTCAGGGAAACTGGAAAAATAACATACCATTGGAGTAATGGTCAAAGAGAGAACCTACAAATAGGAACGGACAACAAATCCTGAATGTACAGTTTGGGGAAAAAATATTTTATAATGCTTTAACAAAAGGTGGAACTAGGAAAGCGCTGCCATCCATAGAGACATTTTGGTGCATCATTCAGTCAACATCATAAAAGAGAGTGTTCAGGAATGTTTAATAGCCACAAAGTATTTCAGAAGCATTCCAAAGGTGGCCAAATAATGCTAAATGGCATGACCATGGAACAAGGAGATATTTACAGCCACAAACTTTGCCATTCAAAACTTCACGACAATCAAAAGCTCTGAAAAGACACCAATGAATCTTCCACAGAATTAAATCCTGACTTGCTTTGATGGCTTTAAAAGGTCTGTGAAGCTTCCTTCAAGCAAAAGCCTTGTGAATGCCTCTGTGTGTGTGTGTCACACACTGTCCTTCAGGAGATAAGGCCCTGACTACTTATCAGTCTCTATGCTAAATGAGCAGTCTTATCAAACCACAGCACAATCCAAAGAGAGGGAAAGACTGCCGCATTGGACTAGTAAAGAGCACCTTCAGCTTCCCTCTGAAATATCATACCTGCACCCAGGCCCACTCCCTACTGGGAGGAAAACTTTCAGAAAGCCTTTTTTACAGCATGGATATCTGACAAGGCTGAAGTAACTGTGGGTATTTGTTCCAACCACGCAAGATAAAGGTTGATTTATCTAACCAGTTTCCTTCCTCGTTGAGGAGGAACCATGTGGTGTTTATAGAGTTGGAACAAATACCTGTGGATGCTGAGGCCATTCATGGATCTCATGGTGTGTAGCAGAGTCCCTTAATGTCTCTCTGTAGCTCAGGGGTGGGGATCTCCCATTCTGGTGGGCTGCAGTCTTGCAGTTTGGTAATTTTCCTGCTCAAACTCACTTTACTCAAAGCTCACTGTGAGCTCAAACTCACTCATCAGTAAACAGCTAGGTTGAGTTCATATGTCAGAGCAGGGCAATCAACAAACTGGGCTTGAATGTGGCCCTCAGTTCCCACCCCAGGTATAAATGATTTAACCTCTTTTCACAGTAGCCATAAATGCACCTGCTCTTGAGGTCCCACAGTTGAACTATGTATTTCTTTAATTTCACAAATAGTGACAGATTCCTAGTTAAAGCTACACTATGTAAGTTCTGGAGACCTCTGGGATGGAAATGCAATTGCATTGTGTGGAATTGCATTCAATATGTGGAAGAACATTTTGTAACATCAGTTGCCCTTTGGACCTCTTCCCCAAGCGGATTAATCTGTTGATTGTGAGTGTGTCGACGGAGTATTAAAAAGAACACAGTCACAACTCAAAGCTACGTAAAGACAAATGATGTGGTTCAAAAAACTCCTGTGAATCTGACCCGACGCCTCTCACTTTTCAATTTCAAAAGAGGAAACAAATGATCTAATCGATCAAATTTAAAATTTGCATCACGCTAATTGGGTAGTCAGAATAACTATCCTTCAGAAAAAGCAATTTGACATATAAATATGCTATTGAATAAAGCAATTATTATTATTATTATAATTACTTGGTGTCAAAACGTCATTTCAGTGCACTACTAAATATGGAGGAATAAACTAAGCTAGTGATCAATAGATAATGTCATAAGGATAAATAAGGAGGAAAATGGCGTACTAATTCTGTCTGTGATCTCAGTCTTGGTCATAACGTCGATGTCTGTGTCATCCAGCAGGGTGCGGCCCAGGTCCTGGTGCAGGGACAGCTCAGTACGCAGCTGGCTGTTCTCCGCCTCCAGACTGGCTATCTGAGAGCGCAGAGCAAGGATGTCCTCGGCCATCTTACACATAGCAGTACGGTAGTTCTCCACCTCCTGATGAAGACAGACAAATTAAGACATGCTTGTTTAATTAGCAATTCAGTGCTCCTTTTCCTAAGCCCATTAGTGACATATCACAGTATTCCTGCAACTTCAAATGCTTTGTTCAAGGATATAACAGCAGAGGTCAGAGGAAGGTCACGGGCATTAGAACCTGCACACTCTGGCACAAAGTTCTCTTACATTGGGACTCAGAAATCTAAACCAAAATTTAGGCCAACTACCATCTATACACAATCCATACATAAAAGGTAGCCTTATATGCCAGTTTAAGCATGTCACCTCTCATTCCCCATAGGAAATTCTTAAGGATCAAAGCTGAGCATTTGGTTTGCTGAAATATTAAGACTAGCAGGCTGAAAAATTAACCATTTTGCTCCTCAATGCGTGGACAATCAACCTTGCACATAATATACTCTTAGACAATAACAGAACTGACGATAAACAAGTTTACAGTCAGGTGACAGTAGTTACAATGTCTATGCACTAGGTGTCCTCATAGCATCGATGTCTCACATACCAATAGAGTATTTGAGATAAGAGCAGAATGTGCTTCACACTGACAAAACAGGATTAACGTCCGTCTCTCTTTATGCTATGTTTGTCTGACCTGGCTTTGATGCCTGCTTAATTAACATTCATTTATTACATCGTACTCAAATCATGTTAAAAAGGTGCTCGGGTGTAACTCAGCTTTCACAGTAATCCATTCTTCATGGCATTCTTCATTGTAATCAGTCTCCAAAGTTTAGCTACACAGAGAAAACAAGACCTGTCTGAGAACGTACAGGGATTTGAATAAAAGGTGCATCATGCGTTGTAAAATCCTGTTTACAGAACAGCATGGCTCAACGTGATATGCTGGCATGCGCACTACTTCACCTCTAAACAAAGCTGGAGAGATTGTGCAACCAGAAGGAATTTAAAGGGGAAGTCCTCTCTTTTTTTCAAATTGTACATAAGGTTACCTCCTCTGTAACATATCTATGTGCCTTCCATTTGTCCTGAATGGTGTAAACATAGTGGACGGGTATGAGGCCAAAAAGCAGCCTAAATTCTGGTTATTGTTGAATTCATTCAACTTCAAAAAGCTCATATTTAAAATTCCACTGTCCCTGCATTGGAGTAAGTTTTTGAAATTTTAAACTGGTGAACTGCTCCTTTAAGTAAGGAGTTGCATATGCAGTATGAAAAAGTGCTTGGTACACAGTTTTTATTAAGCCTAAGCAGACATAAGACATTTGGCCTTTCACACGTCTGACTGTCTTTGTTACACTGCTTCATTTTAAATCACTGAACAATAGCACTATTGTAGCACTGCAGTGAATGAACATTTGGCCTGGTTGGAGTGTTGTATGTCTTTGTGTGCCTTTGTGTTATTGTGTGAACTGTGTCATGAACTAACACATAGATGTGAAGTCTTTTTCACATAACGTGGGGTGGGCGGGGTAAGGGGGCTTGGTGGATGGTGGTAGGGGGCCAGGGATGGGAGAAGAAAGCAGAACCGATTAGGAGATTCCAATCTGGGCCAGTGTGGCGCCAGCTCCCTTGGGCCCTCTGGATGAAATTGAGCGCCTAATTGAAAGGGCGCACACGCAAGGTGAGAATCATGACTTGGTGATGAGATTGGAGACTAGGGAATTGCTGCGGGGGAGGGGACAGGGTGAGGGAAAGGGAGGGGCCTAATGATAAATCATTTTGGACAAATAAAAGAGTGAATAATAGGATGGAGGAAAAGGGAGGGTGGGACAGTCAGAAAGAGAGAGACAGAGAGGGCCCCAAATGAATGTTCGATGGCAAGAACAACAGGGTCCCACAGAGTGCTGACTGTTGCTCCAGGACAAACAAATATAGAACACAGAACATCTCTCTCTCTCTCTCTCTTTCTCTAATGTGATGAGTGCATTCTGGTGAAAGAAAGGCTGTCAATATATTCCCTCCATTTCATTATACCCCTTGTGCTTCTAAAAATCAGTTTCCTGTGGGCCAGTGTTAGGTAATATTAATAAAATTCAATATCATGATATTTTCTACATATATCATGGTATTATGGTATCAGACTTTGAAGGTATTAAAGGGAAAATCCACAGAATTTTTTAATTTTCTGCACAAATTAATGGTTCAGATGTAAACAAAGTCATCCAGGGTGGTTTGATGTGAGATGTGCTATTCTAGAGAAACATACAGAGAACAGTTCACAGTTGTAGTGACAGAAACAGACATCTATAGCATTTGATGCCTCTAAAAGCTACCTCACAGAAAGACTACATGAAATGGTTACAATTACAATCACTTTGAGATGTTACACCAATAAAATAATTGTGCCTCGTGCTTATGGGATGAATGTAAATTTGATCAATATTCTTATTTATGCAGTCTAAAACTGTCACACAGAGGGATGTGTGTAAATGTTAATCTATTCACACAGTGGCTGTGCGCCCCTGGTGACAGAGAAAAAGGAGGATGAGGGGAGGAGGACAATTTCTCCTATGAGAGAATAAATCTCTTTAAAGTGTGTAGTGGAGGGTTGTAAATATGTTTTTCGCAGGTAATGATAACACTAGGCATAATATTGAGTAACTGCACAATACATGCACCAGATTTTGTCACCCAGCATGGGACATTTTGGGCTGAGAGGAGCTGGAAAAGTGGAGGTACAGGGGGTAAAGTGATGGTTAAAGTGTGAAATGCTCTATAAACTCACTTTTGTTTGGTGTTCGGTGATCTCTGCAACATGTGGGTCATTGTCTTGAACATTTGACACTGGGAGTCTGAAACATTTACAAAAGCCCAGGTTTGGGTGATGAAAAGAGAAAAAAACAACTAATCTGACTTGATAATTCCTCATTGCTCATGTTCATGTCCAGGCTGCTCACCCCTCACGTGGAGAAAGGATTTCAAATGTTTGGTTGAGCTGTGATGACTTCTGGCTCTTCTTCTGTTCTCCTGGTTCTCCTCTACTCTCTTGAGGAGCTTTGGGCTTTTTGAGGAGGTGCTGGTATTCAGGAAGGATCTGGGCAAGGGCATCGTAGGACGGCAGGTCATAGCCATCCTTCTGGAGCTGTTTAAAACCACACAGAGCATGGTAAATAAGCTAGAACCAATATTATTAACCAGTGTCATTAATGCTGAATATATTATCTGCAGGGATCATAACTTTGTTTTGAACAGTGCTGGGGACAGGGTAGTACAGTACAGGCCCGTACTCAGGGGAGGCAGTAATTTGGGCCGGTAACATCACTGTTAGTCATAAAAACATAAGTGGAAAAATGATTGACTTAACAATTAAAAAATTTAAAGTTTTCACAGTTTAACCCATATAAACATTAATTGAGACGTACATCATCAGTCTGAGACAGTGCAGCTGCGGGTGCGCAGTGCAGACAGCTAGCCAGAGATGGAGAAGTTTCTCAGGGCGCTTTGGTTGGTGTGGATCAAGCTTTTTCTTTAGTTTGCTCCATTTTAACATGTGTGAACACCTGTATTTGGGTCTGCTGCAAACCTGAACCGGTCCAGCAGAATACTCGTGGGTCTTGGTCTGCTTCAAACAAACCCTGTTCAGTTCACTGCTGATAGAAACGCGCTCTGTGATCAAATGAGGGAGTTTATCAACAGAGCTGGCTTTCCTTCTCTTCTAGCAGCACGTCAATGCCATACAGTCAGCATAACGACTGTTTTAAAGACTCTTTAGAAACTGAGAACAAGCTGCTTTTAAAACAATAGATGAGCCATAAAATAATAGAGAACAGACGTGTTTCATTTCAACTTATGAATCGCGGAGCATATATTTGGTCGAGCATCAGCAAACAAAGTGGTTAAATTTCAATTAATAAACCAATGACAAAGAAGCTGACATCAGATAAGATTTACTTTTACTGTTGATTGTGATAACGCTAATCCAAAAGCCAAGTGAATGGAGTGAGGTTTATTTCATATGAAATCACGAAAACTCTCAAAACTAGAGACCAAACAACTATTTTTTTGGGAAAGCCAGTGGAGTATTTTCAGTGAATACGCACATCTACCTTGTACATTTCTATTCTTTTTTCTTTTTTCCCCCTTTTTGACATCACTACAAACGTGGTTTTTTAACGTTTCATGTCTTTTAACATACCTGTAAATTTTGCAAACCTACTGACAACCAGAATGGCCAATCTGATCTTTTTCAGGCCCTAATTTTCAGGTTTTCAGTGTCAGCATTTAAGAGAAGGAAAATAAAGTTGTTTTTAAAAAAGTTGATGTTCATTTTCCTGGGCCTCGATGCTTTGTAGTTATACACAGGTGGGCCTTGGGGTGTAAAAAAAGGTTGAGAACCCCTGGTATACAGGACATTTAATCATTTGTCCAAATAAGAAATAATAATCAAGCTAAAAAGATATGCTCAATCTTTTATCACTTACCTCTGGTCAGAAAAAAACAGCATTAAGCAAATATCAATATTATTTCAGCACACATAAATACAGAGCTGTTTCTGTTTAATAAGAATGTACTGTATAACCACCAGAGCATCAATTGTCAACAAAATGGTGATGAATTCTTCATGGTCTTAGTGATGTTTTTAGAAAGTGTTTCTGCTGCAAAGTATGAAATAATAGATTTTCGACATACTACGCCTTCAAGAAGTGCTAAGGACAAAACTGAACATGGGGAAACATATTCAAGATTCTTAGTGCAAATTACTGTTATGCGATTCCTAATGTGAACTAGTGAAAATGTTGAAAAAATTCTACTTTGTAAGTTGTGCCCTAGTTCTTAGAGGTATTAGAGGTTCACATTCTTTAAACATATACAAATCCATGCTTTTGTTCACTTATGATAACTGCACTGAGTTTAAATTAGCTTGCTTGTCTATAGAAAAAAAAATCGTATTATCTGCATTACTACTTACAGCTCTTGTGAATGGCCTGTAAATCATATTCATCTTGAAAACTCAAACACAGTGCACCTCCACAGCACTCCAGCTACAAGAATCCTATTTGTCCTTCAGTCTCCATAAGTCTAGTATGTCTCAAAGCTGCTACCAAGGACCCTCAGTCACAGTCACGTGTTATATGGCAGAAAGGAGAAATATACTGTCTCCCTGTAACTAAAAACAACCCACCCCCTGCTAACTATCTCAACCTTGTGTTTGCCTTCTTTGAGAAGATGCTGGTCTGTAGTGCTGATCTAGGAACAGCTTTACCAGCTCAACTATCGTTAAAGGTCATAAGAGAATTGTAAACTCTAGAACAGTTAAGGGAAGTTTCTCTCTACTGACAGCATACCTGTCTAGTGGCAGGGAGCACCTGTGGTTCCTTAGAGGTCTGCATTTGAGTGAGGGATTCTGACTGTATGAGAGGAACTAATTCACCAGAGAGAGAGAGAGAGAGTTAAAGAGAGTGAAACTACAGGCTGTTTCCACAACAAAAGCCTTGCTTAGCAACTGTAATGGGTAATGCTCACATAACTGTAACTCTCACATTTCATGTGTTGTCGCTGGCTATAAAGAAAGCTGTTTTTTTGTTTTTTATAGTAATACAAACAGTAATATAAAATATGATAAAATTAGAAAAAATCTGGTTCCATTGACTTATATTAAAAGTAAAGTAGGTTTTTTCCTTCTCCTGTAAATTTACCACTTTGGAGATACGATATATATATATATATATATACATATGTGTGTGTGTTTGTATCAAAGTGGCATGTGTTTTGAAATAAGACCTTTTAATACAATTCAAAAGTAAAACTCACTGATCTGAACTACAACACAGTAATCTAAAAATTCCAATTTTATGTCTCTCATTTTTCTATAACTTACACATAGCAGAAGAAAATTGAGTTATGACAGTAAATAGCATATATGCATCATTATCACTGTCAACCAAGTTAATGAAAGAAAAAAACAAAGAAACAAGGAAAAAAAGGAAGATGAGCTGTTTTGCTGCCATTATGTTGCACATTTGCTTGGACCGCAACCGTCACAACTGAACTCTGACTGATCAACCTGATTTAAATGCATCCATACAATGCAGAAAATCGAGCTGGCTCCAATTAAACATTTTACATAGTGTTGGAGTCCATCAGTTTTGGATTTGATGTGAAAGACTAATATGTGCATTTTTTTTTTTACAATTGGACATCACTGGTTGGCCAGCAATATGCGAATTAATATTCCAACTCAAGACCCACCGATTTATCATAATCAATTAACAATTTAATTTTGGGGAAATTTTCAACACAGCTATGTTTGAGTGCCGACCCCCGCAATCAGTAAACATTAAATATCAAACGAAATGGTTGCAAATTGAGTGGAATATTTCTACCAGTGGTGCATGCAGAAACATGGGTAGGCCTGTAAAAAAGTGAATGTGCCAACTTGATAGACAATTTCCAAGCACATTAATGTCCTGCAATGTGATAACATTAGGATATAGCCTACTGCTAACAGCAGTGCAATAATCACCCAACCCAACTCAACTACCCTATCCAAAACAATAGCAAGACTGTACACATCAGCTGTGCATGCATTAACAGGTAACGTTAAATCTTTTGACCGCAGCTGGAGCTAGAATTTCAAACACTGGTGCTTTGATTACCAACTAAAGGCCTGAGGCAAAGATGGATAGCAACTCTTGGCGGAGAGCATAATAATTTTGATTGGCCATTATACAGTGACAGCATTCATATCAAACAAATCAAATTTCAGTGTCTTAAAAAATGCAGCATAATAAATATTATGTTCCCATTTGTTTGGGTGAGCCTATGATGAATCTGGCTGTGCCCCTGGTTTCTACAACAAAAGTTTTCTTCAATACTGGTCCACTATGGACCATTGGCTCCTCTCAGTATTGGCCTGAGAACCACCAAACTTTGCTTCGTGGACCACAAGTGGGCTGTCCGTAGTTCAGGGTATCTCATTTAGAGAACTAAGCGAGACTAAAAGTCACCACTATACTGTTTAACAAAAAGTCGTATAAACTGTATCATGTTTTCAATTAACAAACTGTACCTTAGCAAAGCAGATATTTTTATTTTTCTGCTGTAGCAGCACTATTTGAAGGCCAAATGAAGTTTTAAAGCATCTGTTTTGTAATAAAAGTCACAGTAAAATCTTTAAAGGCCAGTCAAGAGCCCTGCCCCCCAGCGCTAGTCTGCAGATGAGTGATCTGTGAGTGCAGCAGTAGATTGATGAGGAGTAATTGTTGGTGTGCTGTGATCATGCTGTGAGGGCTTGTTCCTTATTCTTAACACGGTTGGAAGCACACCAAGATACCTGTTAGTTTCCAAATACAAGATGTTCTGCTTCCCATGACAAAGGCTAATGCAAATGAATATTCAGCCAGTTCATCTGTCATATATGTACTAATGTACTATGCACCCTTTCTTTAATTACTTTTAAAACAACTTTTCCTCCACATTTTCCCTCAGTTGAGTCAAAATCAACACTGTTAGATTTCTTCCAGTGTACACAGACACACCAATCCCATCACCTCTTCTGATGTGAGTAAAACCACATGACCATCTAGTTTGCCGAATGGCTGGTAGGTCGCATAGCGACAGTGAAGAAAGAGACCCTTCTCTTCCAATGAGAACACAGCCAATAGCAATGTTCAAGAGACCTAGAAACAAATGGAACATTTCTCAATGCAAAGGCTTACTTGCACATTCTGTTACAAATACAACTCAGTCATGAGAGCAAGGAAGAGTAACCATAAAAAGTAAGTAGTTTTTTTGTTTCTTAAGAATCCAAAATATTCTTATAATATAATATTTTAGACTGATGTTTTTCCCAGATAAAATGATATCATATGAGACTTAAACTGATAAAAATCCAGCCAAGTTATTTCAGAAGGACAAATAGTAGTTTTCATAATTGACTGCTTTAATCCACGATTAATAATTCATTCAGTCCTCACAGCTATGTACTCTGGGTGAAAGAGAGAGAGGGAGCGGGAGAAAGAGGGAGAGTGAGAGAGAGAGTGTGTGTTTGTGTGGGCGTGTGTGTGAGGAGCAAGTAAGAGAGACTGAGAGGGAGAGTGAGTGTGTGTGTGTGTGTGCGAGCGAGAGAGAGAGAGAGAGAGA